AGATGGATAAAAATATTTTCTAAAAGTACACATCTAAAACAAAAGTTCTCATCAAACTAAAAATGGATTTCTTAACTCAACAAAGTATGCCTACAATATGTATACTCAATGATAAAACATTACACACATTTCCTTTAAAATTGGGAAGATAAAATAATTCTTTCTACTAACACTGTTCATCAATACATTGAAATTTGCAAGGCAGCACTGGAACTTGATAACTAAGTTTCTGAAAATGAATATATTTTGGAAATTCATAAAGCAATTTCATGTCTAGAGAACTCCAGGGATTTATTAAAAGCTTAAAACAAAGAAGACTTTCCTTCACCCCTATAAAATAATGAGACTGAAAAGAGATACCTACTACTTACCTGATTAATCCAACTTAATTTTTTAAATGCAATAAATATTTATTAAGCATCTATCAGACAGTGATAGACAACGGTCATGCTCTGGTCATATAGCAAAGGACAAAATGGATATTGTTATGTAACAGACTAATAAATACATTTAACTAAATATCTCCCATACAGGGCTGTGAACTTTCAGAGGGCACAGATCCTGCTTATTTGGTGACCTAGTTTTTTCTCAGCTCTTTACAATGCCTGGCACATTTGTATGAATCTAATACTTGTTATTAATTATTAGTCATTTCTGTTAATCACTTAATCTATTTGTTGCATGAATATATGAATGTGCCCCAAAGCCATACAGTTGCTACTTGGAAGATCCAGAGATTGGCCCAGTCTACTGACAGTGGTGAAAGCAGTCACCCTTTCCTGTGAGCTTACCGTGGAGCTTGGCCTATGCTCAGCACTATACACTTGTCATCTCACTTAATCCTCAAACTCCTTAGAAAAAGATGTTATTATCCTTTTTTTAACTGGTAAGAATTCTGAACCTCAGAGAACTTAAGTGCCTTGCCCAACATCGCCTGCTGGGTCTGTCCCCTTCAAAATCTGAGCTACTGTAGGCCCAAATCCTTCTCTTTTCACAGCAATTGTATGTGTAGTGCCAGAGGATCCTTGGCCACCTCCAAGGGAGCAGTTCAGTTTATTAACTAATTGGGCCTCCTGGTGCCAAGCAATCCGTTTGGCTGATTTTCTTTCCACACTGAATTGACTAATTTGTTTTACAGCAGTGACCACATCAGCTAGTTATTTTCATGGTAAATCAAATCATCCTTGTCCATTTCTTTGACTGTCTCCAACTGCCAGGAATCTGGCTAAGCACTGAGGGACAGGCATACCTAAACTATAACGCTACTTATTAATTGTGAAATCTTAGTTAAGGACTTAACTGCTTTAAGCTTTCTTTACATTTTCAGTAGAAGTGGAGTTCATACTAATTCCTGCCTTGTCTGCTTAATGAGGTGATTAAATCAAACAATTGTAAATAGCTCCTAATATAATGCCTGATCTCTCAGGAGTTTTGTTGTGCAGTAGCTGCTGTTATTAAATTTATTATTTGTAGTGTTAATCTCAATATTTAATTTCGGTATTATCTTTGTTCCAGTAAAGAGGCCTTTACTGACCTCCTTGACCTAGGTCATTTAACTTTCTTCCAATATAGGCAGAGTGAATTACTTGCCCCTTACTGGTTATTGCTCCTTTATTATGGAGTTTAAATTGTGTTGTAAAAAATTGGATCAAGTCTCTTATTCCCTACACTCTCTTCTAATTGCAGACACTTTTAGTATAAGTTCATTCATCTTTTTGCTAAGATGAATGAACTTACCCCTTCCACTGTGCCTAGCATATCAGTGTTATGGAGTTTACTGAATTGAATGAATAGGTCAAATGACTATTCACAGTGAATGGATTTGTCCATTCTCTTTTGTGCATTGTTGCTGGTGCCATTGATAGAATTACCTTGGTTATGATATGTGTAAAGACAATAAGTCTTGAACTAGATAGCTTGCTTTTAATAAAGATTTTCACTGTCTATACAGAGAGATCAATTTTTATTTATGGCACTTTTTTTTTTGCTAGTGCTATATTACAGACTTTTTCTTCTGCTGTTCCTGCCATAGGACTTTATAAAAAGACTCCTTTACTTTTATTTAAACTTTTATTTCCCACATCACTTTAAGGTATACATTTTACTCTTTCTCCCTATCATTAATACATTACCATTTGACTCTATCATTAGGCTGTCAATCTGTAAAACCCTGGAGAAAGAAAGAGAGTCCTTATTTTAAATAGGCCTGATACTTTGCTAAAGAGGTTAGTGCACTATCTACAATTCTATTCTTGTCAAAAATAGGCTTTTGAAATTTTGAAGAGAAGAAATGAAATTTAGAAGAGCTACCAAACCATGAAAGATCTTGGAAGAATAAAAGAAGTAAAAAGGAAGGAGAAAACAGTATAATCCAGAGACATTGATTGACAAATAGACAAAGCTCACTATAGAGTTCTAGGGAAGGTTCTTGCCTAATTTTGAAGTATCTGTGCAACAAGGAGTGCCCTGAGGCTAAAATCATGAAATTCACCCTAAGGAAAAATTTGTATTTCAGGGTTCCTAAAGATCAGGTCCTTCGTCCATTGTTAGTGGTCAGAAAAATGGAAATTGGAGCATTCACTGGGTAAGAAAAAGAAAGGGAAATATTTAGTGACCATTCTGAGAGAAATGTTTTGCAGGTTGTGGGAGCAGGTAGTCCTTCCATTTCCAGTGACGTTTGGGTGTGATAATATGCCTGAAATAAAGCAGGAGAGATTTTTGTTGGGATTCAGACAGACCTCCTGGGTTCTCAGATGCTCAAAAATGTTACTAAGCAGAATAGAATTTTCTTTACAAATGAGGCTGGCAAGTTTCCCAGGATTCTGAGTCTTAGGCAGGGACAGTACTGGTTTCCTGAGACAGCACTGCCACAGCCTCACTTGTGCTCTGGCACAATCTGACCCGATTCACAAAGAAAGCCTATGGAATCTTATTAACCTCAGACTTTGTATAAAAAGTTCTTTCTGCAGATGGGAGCTCAGAGCAGCTCATTTGCTTCATAGTTGCGCTCTTTCTACAGCAAATGAGAACTGCAATCAACTTCTTTTGCCAAACATAAGAAGAATTTATAGTTTTACTTCAAACTGAATGGTTTTTGATGCAAAAGAATTGATAAGGCTAAAGTTTCATATTGAAAATATTACATACAGATAGTAATCAGGGTAGGGGAGAAGGAAGTACAGTTCCTTGCACTGCTTCCGTCGAAATTTTCAATCAACTGCAGATAGCTTTTGCTTAGCAAAACTTTGACATATGTCCCTTGACCTTTACCAACTACCCTTTCACGTTTGACACTTAACATTTGCTACATGATTAAAATTCAGCGTTAATTAATTTCAACACTATCAGTTAAGTTAAATTTAGCTAAGAACACTCACTTTTGTCTTTTGTGAGTAGCACAGCAGTGTTATTACAAAGAGGTAGTCAGGAGGGCAACAGAGATACGAGAAGAGAAGAATGATTCAGTGTGCAGATAATTGTTTCGAGTGAAATTTAGCTTGGTATTTTTGTTCCTGTCCTCAGTAGAACTGAGATTTAGCACCTCCCGCTGGCATTTAGCCCCCACCGTCATGCAGAAGGAGGCTGTGCTGGGTGGATGCTGAGAACGAGCCACACCAGAATTAAATTATAGCACAGTTCTAACACTGGCAAGAATTTTCTCTGGCCAGCTCTTGGGTACAAACCTGGTGATCCCAAAAATGAGGCAAGGCATTGCTTGAAAGGATCTCCATATGGTGTGTGGTATTATCTTCAATAAGGGAGAGTGACATGGTTGTTTAAAGAGCATGGCCCCCAAAGTGCTGACCATTCCCAAAGAAAACAGTGGAAGCCAGAATATTGAGCCATAATATAGTTGTAGTTCTGTGCTTAAAAAGGTCATCTATGAAATTATATTATTGATAACTTATTCCATAGAACAACAACAACAAAAGATTATTAGAATGAATAAAACCCTTGAAATTTGACCTCTTTCACTGAGTCTTCCAAGTGGAAAAAACAAAGCAAAGCAAAACAAACATTTTTATTAGCTTCTGTCTTCCATATTTGTTTACTCTGTGAAGAGGTTATAATAAGAATGTGGATAGGCATTTCTTGCTTTTACCTGAAGCTCAAAATGCTACACAATACCTTCAACTATTACTCTTTGCAGTGAAATTGTGGTCCATAAATTTATTGAGCCACTGAAGTACTTTTATCCTTTAGATGCACATACAGCCCTTCACTGGGTTGAGAGTATAGGTCAAATACAATTTATATGCAAATTGCTGATATGTGGCTTGCTGAAGATCTATTACTAGATATTAAGTTCTTTGACATAGTATACTCACGTATCCCCCAATTGTTTATAAAAAACAAAACAAAGCAATTTTGTAGCATTCAAATATCATAAAACATTTTGCCTCCAGTAATTCAACTTTGTTTTCTTCTGGGTTTCCAGTCACCTGGCTTTGCTGCTATACTTTGCTGCTATACTTCTGTGTTCTTCCATCTCCAGCAGTCACTGGGCCCCCTGGACACCAATTCAGCTTTCAAACTGAGCCGGCTCCCCACATCTTCCCTGAATACACTTCTAAGAATTCATTGCCACCCGTATGGACTCCCCTGGTCTCAGGACCCCCATCCTGCCTTGCTGTAGTGACCTTGGCTCACCTGCCATTGAAATGATACAGGAAAAGACTGAGTTTTAATATTCAAGGAGCATACATAGATGACCGTGCTGGAAAGAATCATCCACTAACGTCTTGGAACAAATAATATTTTTTTTAAGAGTGGGAAGATTTTATACAAATGTGGTTTTCTAGTTCTTGGATCTTCTGGTCTTTTTCAGTTTTACTTGGTGGATAATAAGAAGAAATTGAATTTGAATATTTATTTTCAAATGAAAATTTATACATCTCTATATTTTACAATATTTTCCTTCAATGTAGCCACCAACATATCTTAAGATTGAAAGTAGTTTTATATTATAAATTATTTTTCTCTTGTTTTTCCATTTTAAGGTGCTACACAATGGCCTCATTATGGAAATGAAGCATCCAACTGTGGGGAAGATTTCAGTCCCAGGTTTGAAAATGTTTGTTATTTTCCATGACACCGTCCTTCATTGATTGTCCTACATGCTATTTCCTGCAGGTACCTAGTGTTTCCCTAAACAACTTATCAAGGCATTATCCAAGCTTATAATTCTGGATAAAAGGGGAACCCTAGGTCCAGACCATAGGAATGTATACTGAGACCACAGAGCTGTGTCTTAGCTCTGTGGAATGTCTGATTGCCTCAGTGACAAAAAATGTTTATATTTCCTCACTCTGTTTTGTGTAGATATGTACACACAAAAGTACATTATGTAATTACCAACTATCGATAATAATAAATATTGCACATATTAAGAAATATAGTAGGGTTCATATGAGAATGAGAGAGGAAAACAGGCGAGAGAGAAATGATCTTTTTTATTTCAGAACTGTGGTTTAGGGTATGGATCTTGGCTTTGCAAGTCGAGAAACTAAATGTTTTCATTAAACCCAGAATAGATTGAATTTTTTAAAGTTGACTCATACCAGACAAACTCACCAAAGACTGCTGCTTAAGTCAAAATGCCAACATTTTCATTTCCAGAGGTGGTCTCTTCCTGGTAGTTAGGAGCCTCATGCCCACTCTCAGAAGATCCTGGTGGGTGGTTCAACCAAACTGTAGTGAGAGCTTATGAGCAGTGTACTGCCCCACCCGATTGATTTCATTATAACATCACCACCTTTCATATCTGTTGTCTGTTTCCTTTGGGCATTGCAGGAAAAATACTCCATGTTCTTATTCATTTTAATCTTTATTTTCTAGACGGTATGTAAAGCATACATTTATAATTTATTTTCTTCTTATAGAGGAGAATGGAATTAGCTAGGATATAACTTTTTGTTGAAGCTCTTTCCTAGTCCCTTTTTTGAAATTTGGATAGTCTTAGTCACCTCATTCAAATGGCACAGAGCATGTGCTTCTGCAGGTACCTGACCTCACTTGTTGAATAACAGTTACTGTTAATTTCATTCTAAGTATAATCTAATTCTAAGACTTGGGGTCAGCTTGACAATTTCCCACAACATTATGATAATGACCACTGATAAGCAGAAAGAATATGGAGAGGCAAGAATAATGAACAGAGCAAGTTGAAAGAGACAATGTGAAGTACTGGTGTGTAAGGAATGTTGTGTGTGGATTTAGAAGATAACTAGGAGGCTAAGTTCACATTGCCATAGGGACATGCATACGGTATAGAAAGGTGGTGGAAATGTGTTGATAAAAGTAAAAATGCTCATTCATTCATTCACAATACTGAATATTTACTGTGTGCTTTGAGTCCTGGGAATTAAAAAAATAAACCGGACTACTTGGCCTCTGGCCATGTGGAGACTGTGATCAATGAAAATATAACTAACAAATGTTTATAACGGCAAAGAAAGGAAAGGATCTTGTGCTGTCACAGAGAAAAATGGGACAAAGTGAGGGCCTTAGGTAATTTGAATGGTCAGAAAAAGCCTCTTTGAGAGGCTGGCTGATAAACATGAGACTGAAGGATACAAAGGAGTTGGTATTTGAATAATATGGGAAGAGCATTCCAAGCAGAGGGAACAGAATATGAAAAGATTCCAAGGCAGAAAAGAGCTGGGTGTGTTTTAAGCCAATATGAAAGAGCAAGGAGAGGAGCAAGAGGCAGGAAATGAGATGAAGAGATGCAGAGGCTTGAGGTCCCACCAAGGCTGGGTTTATCTTAATTTTAAGTAGAGGAGTGAAAAGGCACAATCCACAACTTAAGGAAGAAGGGAGTAAAGTCAGGAAGTTATTACAGGTGTAGATGATGATCTCATAAATTAGGGTCATAGAAATAGAGATAAAGAGAAGAGGGTTTATCAAAATAAGGACTGTAATCATAGTGCTTTCAGTCTGAGGAGACTTTAAATGGCATTTTGTCCAGTAGTTTTAATGTTTTAAGAGTTGAATTGATTTTCCAAATGAAATCTAGATAACTAAAACACATTGAAGCAGAAATTTGATGATTGATAGGTTAGCACTTTAATTGTTTAACTTTCCTACTTTGACCCTACCATGATTCTCCAAACATCTCTTTGTGAAACCATAGGCCCCAAGCTACAATTCAAGAATCACTGATTTAACTTAACCCTATGCATTTAAAAATGAGGTCATCCAGTCATTGGTATCCCCAGTGCATTAGAAGAAAAGCAAATTGTTAACATGATAGTGAGAGAAAAGGCAAGTCAGTGGCCAACCTAGAATTAATTAATTGGATGTAACACTTTATCCATCAACCAGATTTTTACTGCCTTTCATGGTAAAGGAATGAAGACCCAATGTGAGGAAAGTGGAAAATGATATGGTTTAAATCTGAGGTGCTCCCCAAAAGCTAACATGTAAAGCAATACAAGAAGGTTCAGAGAAAAAACGATGAGGTTATGAGATCCTTAACCCAATCAGTGAATTAGTCACCCAATGGGATTAATTGGGTGGTGACTGAAGGCAGGTGGGGTGTGGCTGATGGAGGCCAGGCATTGGAGTCATGGCTTTGGGGTATATATTTGTATTTGCCTAGTGGAGATTTCACTCTCTGCTCCCTGGTCATCACGTGGGCTGCTTCCCTTTACCACACTCTACCTCCATGATGTCCTGCCTCACCTCAAGCCCCGAGGAATGGAGCCTGCTGTCTATGGGCTGAGACCTCGAAAACTGTCAGCCCCCAAATAAACTTTTTCTCCTCTACAGTTGTGCTGGTTGGGTCTTTCAGTCATAGCAGTGGAAAAGCTGACTAAAATAGAAAACTAACTTTTTTCCCCTAGAATCCTGGTGGAGAATACCCATTTTGCTCATATTATACATATATCAGGTAACTATTGTCACAATAATACTGTGTAATAAAGAACCACAAAATTTTAATGGCATTCAAACATAAGCACTTATTTATTCTGTGCTTGTAGATCAGCTGGGTGGCTCCATTCCTCACTGCAGGGTGAGCTCAGTTTTGCTGTGTGTTGCTCATGGTCTTGTGGCAAACACTGAAGAACAAGAGGGCAAGCAGAAATCATGATGCCACATAAGTTGTTGGAGTGGAACCAGGAAAACTTTCTGACTGCAGTCTGTTTGTCCAAAGCAAGTTTGGGGTTCTATCCAAAGAAGTAGAAAAATATATGTGACTCTTTTGAAAAGAAACTTCAGTTATCTGATAAAGGGCATGAGCACAAGGAAAGTAGTAAATAATTAGGACCAAACATTCACTGCATGAAATTCTCATCTTGATAGAAAACTTTTTTTTTTTTAAATCTCCCTTTGGAAAATTCTATTTTTTGTCTCTTTAAATTCTATAAAATTTAGGCATCTTTTTGGTATGTCTTTCTTATTGCCTTAGCTTATATTCTTCCTATAGACTTATCAATAAAATATCTGAATTCTTCAATTTGAGATGAAATGGCTATGTTAGTTTTTGAATTAGAATATAAGTGTCTCAGCTGGATTCAGTAATGCACATTTATAATCCCAGTGGCTCAGGAAGCTGAAGCAAGAGGATCCCAAGTACAAAGCCTCAGCAACTTAGCAAGGCCCTGTCTGAAAATAAAATATAAGAAAGGATTGTGGATGTGGCTCAGTGGTTCAGGGCCTCTGGGTTCAATTCCCAGTACTAAAAACAAAGAATATTAGTGTCTCTTGAGGGCAGTACATGTGGATTCCTCATAAAGGGGAATGACAATTCTGCTTATAGACATCAGATAAGAAGATGCTATTCTGTCTTCTAATTCAGTATATTACAGTAAGAGACCACTTGGGATAAGAGATACTAAATGCAACGGAAATTTATCAATAATTAAATTAATTTTTTTGAGGATTATACCTTACATGATTTTTATTTATGATAGCTCTGCTTCTCTTTGTGAGGGATGTTTGCATTGGAGACTTCATGAATGCTATAGAATTTACTCAGATTCTCCCATAATGCCTCAATGACAGGAGTCTACCAATGCAGGAAACCAAGGTGAAGTTAAATATAACTTTATACTACACTATTTTCTGGTTGTGTTGTAGAGAGAGACATTTTGAATTCATAAGTGTAGTTCTATAGATTTACACATATTCCTGCATCTTCATATTTATAGTAAAAAAATCCTTATTAAACATTACTAAATTCTACTTATTTATATTCCTTTTCTTATTAATGAATTCTGTGATATACTGAATTTTCTATACATCGTACTAAATTGCTTGAAGCATTTTGTATTTTAGCTATTATTTGAAATGTGTCTCTTGAAGAACAGCAATAACACTCATGCAGTATTTATTGGTGCCTCGATTGGAGCTATATAAATCCATATTGCATTCCTCAATTTAGACCTCCTATACAGGAGCCCTTGGTTAATACCTTAAAGGTACTAGTCAACCAATGTTTGAAATACTTTGATCAGGAATGATAAATTACTTATTCAAATCCTTTTGACTGCTTAAAACAATAATTTTAACCATTTAGTACATTGTCTCAATATTTGTAATCATTACCAATATTAAAATACAGCAAGCAGTATGATCTAAACAATTTCCTTAATTAGTTCATGTCTATTGTGAACACTCACTTTTCATATAATTTTCTACCACTTTTATCCTTAAAGAAATAAAAAAGAAATGGCATTTGTGTATGTAGATGACATAGTTAAAGCATAAAAACTAGTTAGTGTTCATCAATTATTTCTAAATATAAGTTGTAGTTATGCTAATTCTTTTGTTCTTAATTTCATATATTATTCATTAAAGCTCTCTCATTTGAGCTTTAAAGTCTATTATGCAGTTAAAGGTGAACAAATCCTGAGAAAAATTATCAATGGGAGTATAACACATGTCACATCTCTCTTTGCCAAGCTTATATTATCTGGTGTTCTAAGAGTCCTACTCCAAGAAGGGAGTAGATGTTAGTTTGAGCTTACCATTGGTTTAGTTTATTAACTTAGATACAAGTATCAGCGCAGTAAACACTTTGCACTAATTTTCTCATCATCAACTAGTATAAACTGGTACAGCTAGTATAACCTGGTACTTTGTTCTGGTACTTTGTTTTTTGGCAAGAAAGCTGGATGGGCACAGTCCCTCATGGAGTTTGTGGGAAGCAGACATGAACAATAGATATGGAAAAGGAGGACAAGTGTTTCCATGGAGAACCAGAGGCTGCCAGACAATGCTCTGGGACCACAGACCAGGAAGCCTTACCTAGTGTGTAGACTGAGGAAAGGTTTCCCTGAGAGGTGACATGTAAATAAACACTTGAACACTGAGTGTGAGGCACCCTGGAGGTGCTGAGAAAACTCTTCATAGAGAAAGTGGGAGGGGGCAGGCTCACAATTACCCTGGAGGGGGAGCCAGAGGCCTGAAGAATAAGATCTAAAATAAGGCTCATGGCCAAGTTAAGAACACACTGTTGATTTCAAAGCTATCTCGGCTGAGGTTTCTTAGTGTCCTGCTGGAGGGGTGAAAGTGGGATCTAGACATGGAGCTTGAACAGGAACCTTGATGCTGGTTTGGCAGATATTCCCATAGATTGATTTTAGGAGTAATTTCTATCTTTGTGGGAAAACTCGTAATTTCTTAAATTTTAAACTACAAAATTGATTAAAAAAAACACCCAAAACATATGTTTAATAAGTACTGAGATAAATAGGCATATTAGCATTCCTAATAAAACATTTCTGCAATAAGAAATCAGTCACTATATAAATGTCACCTTATTCATCCCTGGAGTGGATTTTACATAAATTATCACATTCCAAAGGACTGCCAATTTCCACTGAGCTATCCATCATTTGCATCTTCTTTGATAATACCATTGACCATTGGCCTTTTAGCCAGAGTGAAGCATGCTGTCCTTCCACATACCATGGAGATGCCAAAATAGTCTTGGTGTTGAGTTCCAAACTTCAAAGGATGTCACTGAAATAGAGTTTGATGGGTAGCTCTAAAGTTTCTCACCTGGACCTTTTTCATATACTTCCCGGTAAATGCACACGGTAGTTATTGGATCCCAACTGCACAAGTGGGAAGCACTCATTGGTGGGCCTGTTAGTGCTCTGAAGATGACACAGTCTTCTAATTATGTGAAAGAAGTCTAAATTGAATTGCTTTCACCTGCTGGTCCATTGATCTGTGTTTTTAAAAAACCAGCTCCAAACTCCTATAAGTAAAATGTTTCTTAAGCTGTTTTCCCTGTAGTGTTTTAATATTCACAGTTAGAACCTACATCGATTTTTGGCCAGTAGGTGTTAGATGAAGGCAGAGTAGTCATCATAATGGATTCATGCAGGTAGAACCCAATTATTGGAATATTGATGGTTGGATTTTGAGTTGAATTTTTAAGAAGCTAAGTTACTTCATAATTTGATTATCTGACATACTGTATTTCTGAATGTTTTCCAAGACCTTTTATAAATGGTGATCTAAAACCCCTTTCTGGGTTTGAGACAGTATGCTTTCCTAAGCTTGTGGAGAGCAAATGTGCTATCATTTAAAGTCCCATCAGAATCCTCTACTCCAACTTTAAAAAGTCTTCTGGATGATGATTAGTATCAAAACCTATTAGAGCTGGGAATATAGCTCAGTTGGTAGAGTGTTTGCCTCACATGCACAACGCCCAGGGTTCAATCCTCAGCATCACACACACAAAAGATGATTTGTGACAAATGTATACAGTATACTTTTTTTTTATAAACAGACTTGCTACCTAAAGAAACATTCTGAAAATTATTTAACTTTTTTACTTTGTTTTCAGTTTGAAGAATGTACAATAAATGGAGTGACCACCTAGACTCTTCCATGGTTACAAATCTTCCTCTTCTGGGCTACCCAGTTCTTCACCTTTCCCTGTTATTTTTAGCTTTTTTCCCCCCTCTTCCTGTTAGATAGAAAATTAGATAATGTTTCTGAAATCACATATCCTCAAAGTGCAGTTAAATTTATATAATGGATAGCAGCAATGGGGAAAGCTGTCACAAATCTCACTGGGGAAAAAGAAAAATTAAGAGGAACCAAGGTTCCAGCTTATATCCCTCCATAAAAATTTAAATATGTTGGTCCTTAGAAGGAATTCAAAGTAAAACCAATGGGAGAATGAGAAGTAAGATAAGTTATTTCTTCCAGGTAGAAAGGCCTTTCAGATGACAACAGGAAAAGTGTGTAAAGTTTTCATGTTGTATGTAGTGCATAATCTGTCTTCTAGAAAGAGCATATTCCTTCAGGGATCAGGGTATGCTGCAAAAAGAGGAAAGAGATGAAAGGAAGTCTGTCAACAGAACGAGAGAAAGCTGGCAGGGAAGTGAGTTTGCAAAGCGACTAGCCATGGTACTTCCCGAAGTCCTTAATTATTTTCAACATTATTAAACCCTGAACCCATGGCAGGGTACTAAGAGTGAAATCAATCAGTGTATTCTCAGGGGATTTGACACTGAGGGCCTGTAGCCTTCTCTGGAAGTCTTGTTACAGTGAGACAAGACCTTAGACATTGTTCCCATTCAGTGAGAAATGAAAAGCGCAGTGACTTTCCTTCCTAGGAGAGCTAGGAGGAAGCAGAGGAGGCATGAATCCCATCCCCAGGAATGTCTTCCATCAGGAACCAGAGAAGCTCTGAGAGCCAAATTACTGTCGCTGGTATGACTTAGGATCTCCATCAACTATGCTTATCTGTGCCATGAGGAAGAAATATTTTGTGAGACCTGGACTTTCACTCTCAGGGAATTCATGTTCTGTAAGTTGGGACTGGGAAAGTGGCCAAGAACTCAGTTGTATCTGTTAAACTTGTGTCCTCATCAACCAGACCCTAACGGGGTTTCCTGATAAGTGACTAACCAACAAGGAAATCCTTGTTGCAGATTAGCCCTAAGTTATCAATCGATTTCTGGGGTGCAGAGTTGTTTTCACTATGAGGAAGTGATATATAAGCTAAAGAATTTTCCTGGATGAATATTTAATTAGATTTATACATTCTTTGGGATTTTTTTTTTTAACTATCACTATGCAAAATAATCCCTAAGTTTAGAGGTATGTTTGAAATAATCTAAGGGGATCACTGAAATGTCCAGCCAAATAGAGAAATCAAAACAAAAACAAAATAAGAAGGAACAGGAAGAGTGGAAGTCTGCATGATTGTCAAAGTTTCTTTTTTATTGTCCTAAAAGATGGGTCAGACTTCTTTCTGGGATCAGTTCTTGAATCTCTGTTGTTTTAGCTGTAGCCAACTCTCATTGGTACTTGAAGGAATTTTTTTCTGGATCAGATTTATATACTGACTTCTGGTGGGTCTTTAGGGAATAAATTAAATTAATTAAATGTAATTAGGTATATAAACCCTTTGGAGAAATTAAAGTTGATATCATGTAGTAGTAAAATACAAAAGTTTTAAAATCTCCCAGTTTAGACTTCTATGCCATGGAATTTACTTGGATAATCAGGAAGATACATTATCTTTGCCTCCAAATGGCTTCTACCTGGACTGAGTTGCTTGCCTCCATTGCTGAGTTTATCTGTGGTTGGAAACGAGTCATTTTAGTCCTCCCCATAGGGAAAAGTGGCTCTGCTTTTCTCCAGTAGCATTGCCAAGAAGGGACACAATGGTGCATCCAAAGATGACAGTTGGGCTGAATTCCATAGCTAAATTGTTTTCTTTAGATAGAAATCCTTAACATTTCAAGACATATATATATTCCTGTTAAGAAGACCTAGCCAGAGAAAATATTAAAAGAATAAACCGTATATTTAAAAAAGATTTTAAAAGATCATTGTTTAATTTTAACTAAGCACACAGTGTTAATATTAAAAAGAGATGTTGGTGGGGTGAAGAAATTGTAGGTAAAGGGTTAAACAAAATCTTCCAACACCCAAACCCTTGGGGACTGCTGAGGGTCTATGGGCCTCATTGCTTATCTCCTAGCTTGAGCTTACGTTGTCTTCTGAGTGTGTCCATCGTGTATCAGCTTTAATGACATAATATCTACTTGTTTTCACATGTTAACCTGGCTACAGAATTAGCACTCATTGTGTTTCTGAGTTTATCCTCTTAGTAGGATAGAAGGAGAGAAGGCCTCAGGGGCCTTGAACTCATTTCCCAGTCTGTCCTTCATCTAGATATCATGTGAGTCATAGAAGGCTGAGTGACTCTCAGAGTGGGTATCCCCTTGGTCTAACTACTCAGAGTCCTTGTGTCTATTATGAGTGTATACAATAGCCAAGTTATAGAACCAACCCAGGTAACTGTCAACAGATGATTGAATAAAGAAAACATAGCATATATACACAATGGAGTTCTGCTCAGCCACTAAGAAGAGTGAAATTATGTCATTTGCTACTAAATAGATGGAACTGGAGGACATCATGCATGAAATAAGGCAGAATAATAAAGTCAAGGGTCAAAGTTTTTTTTTTTTTCTCAGCAGAAACTAGAGAGAAGAAATTCTAAAGGGGGGATTTCATGAAAATGGAAGGGAGAAAAGTAGTCTGGAGAAAGGGGATCTGAGAGATGGAGAAAGGGAGGGAAAGGGGAAGAAGTGCAGAATAAAACCAACCCAACTATGCCAAACACATGCAAGAGTGTATCACAATGAATCTCGCTTTTTTGTATAACCTACCAACTAACAAAATAAATAAATAGTAGAGTAGGGGAAGAGTGTTCATGGAGAGGGAAGAAATTAGGCAAAGGGGAAGTGCTAGGGAATGCAGTGGACCAAATTATGTTATGTGCATTTGTGCTTATGTCACAATGAATCCCACTATTACATGTGATTATAATGCCCTAATACAATTTTTTGAAGTGTTTCTAAGAGCTTTGGTTATTTCAAGAAGCAGTAAACTTTGCAAAACCATTAAGCAAAAACTTAAATTCAGTTAAAAATGAAAAAAGTAGTTAATATAAACATTTTAGTAATGTGCAGAGAGTGCATGATGAAATAAGAAAGCCACCAACATGCCACAGCCACAGCAAGCTAGAAAAGCACTACCCCATATGGCTGTAAAGACTGTCCTCAACTGTTTGCCTCCTTAAGACTGAATCTGCTTTCTCCATCTTATGGACCTTCAGGTTAATGTGTGACCTTAGATAATTCACTTTACTTTCTAGTGTCTTTAATGGGACAAACTTTTTTTTTTTAAATCTCTTTCCATTTAAAGGAAACATATAATTCATTGTATTGCATATAAATATATTTTGTGAATAGATTTTAATGGCATCATTGCTATGGAATATTCAAATTTGAAAGCAGATGTAAGTCAACATCTCTTGAGTACTCCCCTATATATGGTGCAAATGCAAGCATATTATATGTACAATTTATTTAATCTCCAGGTCAATTCAGAAAGCCGTAAATTATTGTGTCCATTTCACAGCTGAGAAAAATGGACCCTTGTTATATATTGCTAACTGAATGTTAGTATAGCAATTTAGACCCAGGTCTGGATATTTCTAAGAAATCTGTCTTCTTCTAGCCAAAAAGGAAAGTTAAGCTGATTATTGAGAGTATTTTACCTTACAACTCTAGTCTCTAATTTAAAGGTAGCTGAGTATAGTTTTGTTTGAAGATCAGCTTAGAAAATTATTTAACTAATGCTTAAATTTCAAGAATTTAAACTTAGATTGAGTCTATCTCCTTTCTGGAATAAGTTTGTGCTTTTGAAAGTCTATAATTGTGTTTCTACTTGTTTTAAAGCCATCAGAAAATGTATTGCTAGGCCATTTTGATAGTCTCAAGGGCATATAAGTGCAAACGCACCAAAACATGTGGATTACATTTCCCTCAAGTTGTACTGTTTTCACAAATTAACAGAAATGCAGTTTGGAAGAGGGGAAAAAAGAGAAATGTTTGGGATGTATATGCAGATTTCAATCATCAAAAGACCCAAGATGTTAAGCAGCCACCCCAACTTACCCCTTTGCTTTGTATTTGACCTGGATGCTTTGTCTTTGCAGTGATCTGCTTATGGCCCTGGGGCTGAGTTGGGAAATTTCCACTTGTGGGTTTTGTTTTAAAGTTAGAGCCTGATTTTCTTTGAGAAACATTAATAAAACTGCAAACAATGATTTATTGGTATAAGAAAGTTAAGATGATTTTTTTTTTCTGAGCATGTGGTTGATAGCATTATCAGAGCAAGAGTTTAAAAATTAATTAGTAACAAATATTGTGCTTCCTAGAATAGTCAAAGACACAAAAGTAAAATGGTTGTTGTCAGGGACTGAGTGTAGTGGATAGGGAGTCAATGTTTTATACAGACTCCCAGTTTGGGAAGAAGACAAAATTCTGGAGATGGAGGACAGTGATTGTTGCATAACAATGTGAATGTACTCAATGCCACTCACACTAAAAATTGTTGACAAAGTACATTTTATGTTATGTGTGTGTGTGTATCTACAATACACATATGATTAGTAAGAAAAATTAATTTGCTTTTGTTTTCACCTATACACCTGATATGCATATATGGTGTGCATACAAGATAGGGTAGGTTCGAGAGACCTGAGATCAAAACTACACGTTGTGATTTCTAATTAGAGATACTTAACAGTCTAATCTGACTCAATAGTATCTTTATTTTTTGCACTACAAGATCAAATACTTATCTCATTGCAACTTACAGTAATCAAATAATAGTATATGCCAAGTACTTAGCACATAGAAGGAGTAAGTGGAAGCTCTTGTAGATAATTAATGAATTTTTTAACAGCATTTACAGTAGCAAAGAGTCTTGGGTAAAAATAAAACTAGCCACCTTATTAGTTATTTTTTAAACCATGAAACATCAAAATAATCATGTGTATTTCTCTAAGAATTAAACAAGAACAATTTTTGGTTTGTTTTAAAAAAATGTTGATTTAGTATTTACTCTGTGCCATATGCTGACTGATAGATAAGCATCCCAGAAAAAGGGCACATCATGGAGACCAATCAAATGAAATGCACTGAGGACAGGGAAATCCTGAGACTGTTGCCGTCACATCTGTGTGAAGCTGAACTGACTCCTTTATCTGTTTTCTTACTAGAAGATCTTGGATGAATATTTTATATATAAAGTGAGTGGACACCACATAGTGCAAAAGTGTCCTCACAAAACAGTTTTCTCTGACAGATCATGCAGGTGAAAATAATAATTCAGAGTTCATGGATTAAAGTGTCACAGCTTTTTCAGGGAACATTAGAGGAGGACCATGACCAGTGCAGCATTTCCAAAATGTATCTTGGAGGATGCCCAGGTTCTTGAATTGGTTAGTGATAATTGTTCCTCCAAGTAATGACCATATAGCGAAACATCTTTGGAAGACTGCATTAGACAAAGGTCAATGGGTTTTCTTTACCTTCACATTTCTCAAACTGTTGACATTCTCAGATGTGTCTATGCTTCCAGGAGAGGGGTACAGAATGCCACGTTTCCTTAAGTTATTTGACAGTTGAGTCCTTTCTCTCCCTAGAGCTTTTATGAAGATCCTGAGGAAAAGTGATTTGTGGGTTACCCCACCAGGAACATGTGTCCCTTGGAGCTGCATAAGACAAGTTGTAATGGCCATTTACTGGAGAAATTGGCCAGTTTACACAAACAAAGTGAGAGGAAGCCAAATGAAACTGACTCTCCTCCAAGGGTCAGGATTTCTCCTGTTTTTTGTTTTTGTTTTTGTTTTAGCTCAAGGGACCAAGGATCCTGAGGTACATTAGAAGGGGGTCCATGAGGGCTGACCACTAGGGAACAGTGGGCAGGAGCATGCCCAGGGAGGGTGGTAGGAGCCAATGAGGCCAAGAGATCATGGGGAAGGGGTGCAGTGCTTTCTCTCCTAATGGGCTCAGCCCCCACCAGTGAGAGTGCCATTTGACAATGAAAAGCATTAATAAGAAATAGATGGAGGGCAATGCTGAAGTGCAGATCAGGAATAGCTCACACGGTGATGCTCTTGCACTAGAAGCAAAAACTATCCTGGGATCTGAAGAAATCACTTAAGAAGAGAATGCTTTCTCTTCAGTGAGCCTCAGTAAAGCTGCACTAGGAGAATTCTGCACAATTGTTCCTACTCTAGCTTAGAAAATGGAGTTGATTAAGTGGAAGACAACTTTAAAATGTGACAAAGATGATGAGGTGATTAAGGGGTAGGATTTAAGTGGCAAGATGTGGAAAAATTAAGATGTGTGACTGAGTAGCAGTGACAGTGGGGTATATGATAGCTGCCTATAAATACCCAATTAATTGCCTAATGTGGCAAATGAAAAGAAACAGGCTTCAACCACCAAAAAGGAAACTTGATTTGGAGAATATTAGGGAATTTGTATTTAATAGGAAGGGTGATTTGACTGCCATTATACAGAAAATCAGTTGAGTTATTTGGGTAAAGATTCAAGATGATACTTCACTTCCTTATAATATCCTGGTGTCAACAAGATATTTTTCTTTGAAAAGGATGTATATCATTCTTAATGTCTGTTCAGAGCAGAAATTGAAGAATAGAGGAAAAATGTTTAATTTGCTACAAGGTGTTGTGATTGGTGATAATGCTCAGGGTTGCTTTAACCCTCCAGGTATGTTTTCCCTTAGGCTGAATTATACCAATATCTTGGGTGATATGAATCATAGAATATCTAGACATTGTGTTATGCTGTATATGAAGCTACACCTTATCACATAAACCATACCAAAGACAATTAACATAAGGGGCATTTGACAAAACTACTTAACTCTTAGTGAGCTCAATAATGCACTAGGTGCTTTACAAATATAATATATAATAATCACATAAATACTCTGAAAAATGCATTCGTATCCCCATTTTACAGATGAGTAAACTGATCCTTGGGGAAATTAAATAACCTGACGGAGAACTTGCACTTCATTTTGAGTTACTTAAAAAAAAAATCCATGCCCTGTTACTGTGATGCTATACTGCCTCCTGAAGGCATTTTTGATCATCATTTTATGAACTTCAGACCAATGGCTTAGTATGTATGAAGCACTCCTGAGAAAAAACTCGTTTGCTTGTGTTTGAGCGTGGGGGATCACTAAAGGCATTACTCACACTTAACCCAGATAACACTATGGCAGGACATCAGCCAGCCACTTTCCTCTAGCTGTACAGATAGGCAAGGATAGGAGAAAGGGCGGCTGGCTCCCATCCCCTGAGCATTTATAGGGAGGAGAACTGCCAGATCTAAAAAGCAGCATCCAGATTTGATTATAACTCCTCTTTGTGGGCTTTGAAGCTTTTTGTTATTTCTTCCTTTGCCTCATGGACTTCAGATATATTTTCACATAAACAGAAATGATTCCTCCTTTCTGAGCACTTCATTTTTGGTGGCATCATGGAATGTCCCAGGAAGGGGGGCATGGGACCAATTATAAAGGAGAAATTCCTCTTTGGCTTGCATGTTTATATGAAAATGCCAAAGCCATCAGCTGCTGCGACAGCAGGCCCAGGGTGAGCCTTTTCCCCAACTGTCTTACAGCAACTACACAGCAGGGGGAGATCACTCTAGTAGGCCTCATTAGAAGATGATAAATAAAAGAAATTGTTCCTCCCGAAGTGTCATCCTGCATTCGTGACTTGTGCAAGAAGTTTAGGAAGTCTGCGCCTCTCTCTATATATTTTATTCTAGTAAGAAGTGCCCAAATTATAAGCATGGAAATGATAACTCAAATTCCAACCACTCTCTATTAAATGCCCTATCTTGGCTTACTACTGAGGAAATTTTCCTTGAATAGAGAGAATGTAGATTGAAAAAAAATTAATTTCACATTCGTATTTATGGGACATTTGAGACAAACAGCCCATCAGTGTTACTGTTACCTCATTCGCCTTTTTTAGCCATCAGCACTGGCTGCTTATGTCTTTTACATTCATGGAACGCATTTCAAATCTGAGGAATTCAGTTCCATAGCAGGATCTTAGCAGAGATGATATATATCATGTTGTTTGGCTATCTTCTTAATGCTTTCTTCTTTCTTGTGAAAAAAAAATATATAAATGGTGTATTGATGGAAAAACCAGATCTGACAGGAAGGTTGAAAAAATAAGTTACTTAAACAATTCTTCTGGAACCATTCAGGAGAGAAGGGTGGAGTAGAGTCTGAAACAAAACAATACAGTGCTGAAGGTTATATTTTTTAAATGAAACTTAATTAGAGCTATTTTTAATATATCTGTCCTGTTATCACTCCCAGTAGGGGTAACCTCCATCCTATTTGGCTTCTTTGCCACCTAGTGTACAAGGTGAGCTGTCAGTTTCCTAGATGTGAGCAAGATTAGAGCTGGTACTCATACCCAGCTCTCCCAGGCAGAACACAGAAAGGTGTTCTTTCTGTGGTGTGGAAGCTTGTCTTTTTCTATTATTCCAAATTCGGAGGTTCTTCATGCTCATGGTATGATGTGATGTTTTCTAATTTTCTTTGCCAGTGAATAGTGATAGACCCTAAGTCCTCAGAAACTATAAGTGAAAATGTATTCCATATTTGGTGTTGTAGATCCAACAAGACCCAACAACAGTTTTCATTAGTTAACTTCCCTTCATTATTAGTAAATTATTTATTTTTTTCAGATCCATTTCTCTGAATCTTTAATTATGAAACTTTCTGATAAGACAAGTACAAAGAGCTATTATTTAAATATATTTGGTTACGAATCAGATTAGAACTACAGAAACTCCAAACCAGAGGCTGTTGTTCCAGGTGAGTTTCCAAGATATTTTCTATGAAATTGGATTATTATCATTTAAAAAAAAAAAACTAAAAGATTTTGTGTTTTGAAATGTACTTACAAACCCCCTGCCTGGGATCCAAAGAGCCCAATGCAAATGCTTTCAGGGATGTATAATTTGTAAACTTTTATTTTTATTTTGGGAGAAATAACCAACTTAATTTTATGCCTTCCAGTCATAAATTTGACTTTTGAGCATTTTAGTATTCATGGATTCAAAAGAAAAAATAACTGTTTTGAATCAGTGGTTTTTCAAACCATCATAAAGAGCAAATTTTATTTTATTTTTATCATTTAAGTTTTTCCTGTCCTTGTTTAAGTGAGGATTGGAGATAATTACAAATACTAAAAGAAGGTACCTATGGGTAGAGGGACTGGAATTCATGATTGAAAAAAATAGAATACTCAGTATTTGAATGGTTTCTGAAGTAGTCTGACTCTTGTACCACCGTCAACACTTACAATTTCTCTCATACGCAGGGAAATCTTCTGACAACATGGCCTCTTCCTGTACTTTTCTGGAATATCAAGCATCACCCTCTAAGTTTTCAGCCTTGTATTTTCTTTGGAATGTTCTTCTTTACCCTTCTTAAATACTTCACATATACAAAAGGAAATGTCAACATTTAACCTTTAGTATGAGTTGGGAAAAGGGAAAAGTTTATTTCAATGCTCTTCTATTTAAACACAATGGAACTCTGTTATGATATAACATTTTATTCTTGCATTCCAATATAATATGTTTGAACTATGAACACCCAAAAGCGTAGAAAAAGTGATGCCATTATAATCCATATACAAATCCTGGTGTCAATCCTGGTATTATAACAAAATTCAACCTTATATCTTCATATGTGGGTATGCTGGTTGTGATTTTTCTCCCCCAAATCTAAATCCCTGCAATGTCAATTTACTTTTTTTTCCCTAATAGAAAACAAAAATCTCAGCATGTTAGTAAGAATAAAATCTCTGAAAGAAATTTTGTTCCCTGCAGCATTGTATCAGAGAACATATAAAGAACTGATGGATAAATGGACAATAAGCCAGTTTTAGACTTTAACAGACACACATATTTTAAAAATTTTTTTAAAAATAGTTTTTAGTTGTAGTTGAATACAATACCTTCATTTATTTATTTATTTTTATATGGTGATGAGGATCAAACACAACGCCTCACACATACTATGCGAGAGCTCTATCACTGAGCTACAACCCCAGCACAGACACACATATTTTTAATATAAGCTGCCCAATCTCCTGGCTTATATATGCAATTTGAGATGTATGTGTATTTAATGTGATCTCAAATATTTTGTGTTATACAAATGTAGGTTATCGATGTGATTCTGTATGTGTATTTACTTTGTGCCCAGGGAAACAATGATGTCAGATCGAAGTCAGGAACTTAGCATGGATTCTAGTTTTCATATATACACTATGACACTAAGAGAAGACCTTTGTTTTGTGATGATGATATAATAACAGCAATATCTCCACATCTAAACTAAGGAAAGTTTGGGTATGTATTTACTTATTAGGTGCTTTTTAAGCACCTTTATATCTTTAAATCTGTATTTCACAAAGAAAGAGACAAGTTGACCTAAACCACAACACTAAAAACAAGTTGACTCATAGGAATTGACCTCCAAATTTAAAAAATAAGTAAACAAATAACTACTAAAAACAGTGACAACATAGGTGGTCCCTTTATAGACATAAAAAGCATATTTTTCATTTTTATGCTTAAAATATCCTCTTATAGCTATGCCTATAAAATGCAAATCAAATCATATGATATGATTTATGGTATATCCAAGGGTTGTCATTCAAAAACTATTCTATTGAGGCACTTTTCAAAGTGTCATTGGTCCAAAGAATCTCTTAGGGGACCCTGAGTCTTATATCAGACTATGGAGGAGAGCAGCAGGGTTGGTAACCCCAGCAGGTTGGAGCAGCGCATAGATGTGAGAGCTGCATGACCCACTTTGTGGGTCCAAGGAACAGCAGTGGACAGCTTACATATGGTCATTGGAAAGATACTGATTCAAGGGATGTGGGGGGAGTCACAGTAACTGGTAAATATGGTACCAGAAAACCTAGCAAGAGATAAAAAAAAATGTACTGATGGTGCACTAAGCACACAGACACTGTAGGTTTAAGGAATGTCATAGAATCCTAGCAAATAGAACTGCTGCAGAATTCTGTTAAATCCTTCTGTATAGCAAGTTTTGGTCATAGAGCTTGTCTTCCAAAGAAGAAGCCAGTTCCTAACATAAGGAAAAAATAGAAAAGGCAAAAATGAGATATAATCATTGATTTCTCCAAATACTGAAAGGACAAGGCTACTAGAATAATTTCAAAGGCAGAACTGAAGCCAAGGGAATAAGGCAGAACCTACTTTTCAAAACTTGAACAAAATGTAGGAATTTGTTTTAGGCAAGTTTGAGCTAGCTCCACAACTGGATTGAGGCCCATTGTGAGTCACCTGAGCTTGGACCAAGAGCTCTTCACACCCCTCAGGATCCCAGGCTCTGTGGAACCAGAGGAGGGTGAAAACCCAAGCAGAACATCACCACCCAGAGAAGGTTACACCTTAAGTCCTGGGTTTCTTCTACTCAGCTCAGCAGGAGAGATTCCACAGGCAGGGCCTTAAGCTCCTTAGTTACCCATTTCTCAGAACTTTGCACAGCTTTAATAGAAGAGGGTTTACAACAGCAGTCTGTAGGAAACCTAGGCTGTTTCCTGTGTCCTGAAAAACTTTCCAGGAGTCTTCTGGAGTCCTCAATGGCACCATGGACTCCTCTCCATGAAGGACATAAGAGTGATGCTTCACCTTCCCTAGGACACTGCAGAAGTCTCCTCTTGCCCAGGGAGCAAGGTCACCCAGAACACTGTTCACTCCAGTTAATATCAACAACCATTAAATATTTTAAATAGCCCACAGACCCAGCCTGTCTTTCTATCATTGTTTCTAGAAAACTATGTTCAATATGGCTAAGACCAAATGTTGTTTTTAAAAAGAATATTTGCTATGAAGACCAGGCTGGATACCAAAAATGGGACCAAATAGCCACTTCATTTCCTTTCAAATAATTTTGTCTTTACTATGTTGCAATTCAAATATCTTCAATGCTGCTTGTGACACACTTATAAAACACTTAAATATTTATAGTTTTCAATTCCTTTTTCTATTTTAACACCTAAACAGGCATGCAAAGGAATATGAGTAGTCTGTACTATCAAATTATTGGAAACCATATTCTGTAATATGTATTACAAATTGTTCTTCTTCTTCCCCTCTTCCTCCACCCCCACCTCCTCCTTTTTCTTCTAACTGGGGATTGGCCTTGTGCATGCTGCACAAATGCCCTACCACTGAGCCAATTTACCATCCAACAAATTGTTCTTTAAGGAGAGAATGGCCTACAAATTTGCAGAATGAGGCACCTTGAACTTATATCCTGAACTGGGCATGTTTATTAAAATTTTGTATATGATGTTTAACTTAGGGATATTCCTTCAGAGGACAGACCTAGGAATAATAGATGCTACAGGAAAGGGAATTAAGTTAAATGTTGTAAAGGCAACTTTCGTAGATGTGGAGAAGTAAAGAAAAAGGAAGGGAGCAGTGTTGATCTCCCTGGCATGATAGTGAACATAAGAGCAAAAGTAGAGAGCGAATGTGCTTAGCAGGAATTTTACACATATTTAAGTGGAGAATAGGGAGTTGACTTAAGTGACTTTAAAAGTGACTAAGATTGAATCAAAATTCAAATGTCTCATTTACTGATCTGGGATATTTTTTACCCGATTCTTTGCTATGGTCCAAATATGTCAATGTCCTAATCCCTAGAATGTGTGACTATTAACATATATGACAGAAAGGATTTTGCAGACTCTTAAGTGATTCTTAAGAGAAATCAAGAATATTGAGTTAAGGAGATTATCCTGGATTATCTGGAGGGCCTGATAAATTACTATAGTTTTATAAGAGGGAAACAAAAGGTTTCAGAGTCAGAGGAGAAGGTGGCATGATAATGGAAGCAGAGATTGGAGTAATGTATTTTGAAGATGGACGAAGGAACCATGAGCCAAGGAAAGCAGGTGACTACTAGGAATTGAAAATGGCAAGCAAGTGGGGATCTCTAGAGCTTCCCATAGGAATGCCACTCTGCCAACATGTTCAAAATTCCAATCTCCACAATTCAAAGGAAATACACATGTGTTGTTTTGAGCCATCAACTTTGTGATATTCCATTCAGCAACAACAGAAAACTAATACTCTGCCTTTCTTTAAATATGGTCTGAAATTTTATGTGAGCCCTGAACAAGGCAGCCAAGGCCAAAAGTGTGCACATGAATGAAGGAAGTTTCTGAATTTCACTTCCCTTTCCCAATATCAGTTGTCGATTCTTGAACTGAGCATATGTCACTCTTTTCTTATGAAGTTACTTCTTATTTATTCACATACATGGGCTATGACTTTAATGCATTTATATTTTAAACGCAGTTTTCTTCACATGCACAAGCCCTGTCATGATCAAACTTGTATTTCCCCATCTGCTTCTCCCTTTAACCCCTGTCATGCTGTTTCCTGAAAGCACCATGCTATATTGTCTCTGTTGTTTTGTATGTATTGTTTCCTCTGTAGTTAGGGATTTTTATTTTATGTTTTGACCAGATAACTTCAACTTAGCTGCATCAGGATTATGTTTAGCTATAATAGAGACTCCTAAATAATACATTATTAAATAGAAAGAAGATAATCCTCTTTCCCAGTACAATCTGGAGAACCCCATTTCCTGAGGACCCTAGCACTGGTATGGCATTTCCGCTTTGGGGTGTCCTTGGAAAATCAGATTCCTTCTAGTTGATTGCTCTGCTGGAGATGGTTCTTGTCTTAATAGTACTAGATGACACTTAGATTTATGGCCATCATATCTATCTTCCAGGCCTAGGGTTAGAGGAAAATGCAAAGAGGAAAAGAAAGATCACACCCTAGTTATCTTTTGAGGACAGTCCCTGGAAGCTGACAAGTTCTACTCACATATATTAACAAGCACTTAGTCATTAGGAAAGAGGCTGACAAGAGTCTTTTTTAAAATTTTGGGGATGGTAGTGGCATTTGCTTTACTGAAAAGCAGATGCTCTATAGCTGTGGAAGAAGAGAAACCATATTAATGGACAACATACTGCATCTCTCACAACATCATGTAAGACTCAGCTAGTATGTTTCTTACTCTGAGAAGACTTTTCTAATCCCCAAGTGCATTGGTTCTTTCTTCTCTTTGTTTCCCAAATGACCTGTGAATACTAACCTTACTTTGAGAACAAATTGCTGACTGGACTGTGAGCTATTTGAGGCAGGAGCTCTATTGTTATCACTGTATTGCCTAACACAGTAGCTACTACATGAATGAATATTTCTATTAAATGAATGAATAAATTAACTCTGAAAAGATTTCAGATACCAGTGCCTAGAAAATTTTGAAATTTAAGCAGATATTTTAACTTAAAATGTAGTATATTTTCTGTTCTTAAAATAATTTTGTAGCAATTCCTAGGAAACTATGAGTGTGTGCAAATATACAGAAAAAAGTAACTGTGTTGTATTTTATGTTTCAAAAAGTTGATATTTTACTCATAGAAAGACATATTTCCACCTCCACTTTCTCTGTGAAAAAAAATTTAGAAAGGTGTAATGAAAGGAAATTTGTGTTAATTTAACCTATTACAATGCAACAATCTATATCAATTCAACCAAATTAGGTAAATAACTGTAATACTATAAAATAGACTAATAGTCATAATAAATCATAAAAATCTATTGTGTAGCAAAAGACTCCATTTCTTTTCTGGCATTTCCCCCAACATCCCCTCTGTAATGTATTTTAACAGTGCCCTAAGTTTATCAATGTGGTTTAGAAAAATCCTTAATCTTATAGCACTTTCAGTTCAAGCAACTAATTTTGCCTTAGCAAAAAAAAAATATGATTAGATAGAGGCCTATAAGTGTAATTGTTATTCATATTATTTTATGTATATAGGTCTTCCATGTTTCTTAAATATACTCTTTTGAAATTTAATATATTTGTTATCTAATGAATAAATAAAATGGAATTGAAAGGAAATACAAGACATGATACTTGTTCTTAACTTGGAATTCAACAGGGAAGAGATTATATTAAAACTAGTGGTGTTAGGGCAACTTTTAATTGAGGTTAACTAAGCAGATGAGTGAATGAGCATGTGAATTAGGGAGACTACTTCTTCAGGGTATTGTATGGATATTTTCATGGATCAACTTTAGTATTTTTCCAGATCCTCTACTTCTATAAATTAACAGTATTTTCATCTTGCTCCTTAAACTAGGGTGGCCACATGTTCAGTTTGCCTGGGACTCATTTAGTCCATGCCTGTGGTTCAAGCAAAATTATTGCCAGTTCTCCCTTTTACTCCCCAAAGGAAGCAGTCATCTGATAGCCTGCTCCTCTCTCCATAACCAAATTTACTTTCCCTCACTTCTCCCTTCTTTCTCCCTTTTCACACCAAAAGCACATGGGAGGAGGAAAAATAGTAGCATTCTGGAAAGCTCTGTTTCTGGCTTTGGTTCCTATATTCCTGTTACCACCTGTTGAAAATCAGCCCATGCTCAAGTGTTGTAGATTGCTTCAAGTTCCTGTGGTTTGCAGATAAAAGCTTCTATTTTTTGGAGGACAACATGTTTTTGGTTTAAAAAAATAATATATTTCCATGTTTGAGCTCATGAGCATTTCTTTAAATTACTAGGGGATCATCCTGTATCCATCATAATAGATGATAGATCAACAGAGCTTATCCTTCTAAGTGCTAATCCTTTTGAAATATTTTCCTTTTTCAGTGGAACTCTTTATAAAATGACTTTATAAAATACCTTCCTTATTCTCTTAATTAATGTAGATTCAAGAAAGTGAAAACTTTTCTGCTTGTATAATTAGGAATGTTACTTATTTTATTTTCATAATAAATGATGTCCTTATGAACTAGAGAGGCACATGAGGTTTTGTTCTTTTTCTATAATTTTTTGAATTACTGTCTTTTTAAATATCACATTGCCTTGCGTATTAACTCTTTTAGTCCCTTTTTCTCCATAGATTCATTTCTTCTAATCCACTGTTGGCTCAAAAACAATTACCAGTATAGTGATTAGAATTGTTAATAAAAATCAAGGTACAATTGCTCTAAATGACTAGCTGCTCTCTGATGGGGGAAAATCCATGGGATTTTATGACATCACTCTGCCTGTAGAGATTTTTTTCTTTTCTGTCTGCTTTTTGTCTGTGTTCCAAGTAGTTGAGTTTATAGAATAGTTGACCTCTAGATAAGTGAAATGTTTTTGTAATTCCATTTGAAAATTAGTGTGGAAAATTAAGGTTTGCACCCCCGTGGAGAAAGTTGAGGTCAAGTAATTCATTCCCTAAGCTGTGCAGTCATAAAGATTCCCATACCGGCCTCAGAACTAGTATGAACCAATCAAATTGCTCCCAGGGGGGTGCTCACTTCCTAGGTCAAGTCTTAGCACTCCACATAGCCATTTTAGCCTTCCAAATATTTGCTTGGTGAATTGACAGAGAAACAGGAAATCAGAGTGAAAATCGATGTTATAAATCTGTTTTGTACAGAAATGCATTGAACAACTTTTAGTGAGGGCAAATATACTACACTGGGTTTTAGAATACTGCAATATTCCCTAATTTATCTGGGAACATAAATCTTTCTTTTGTTACACTTCTTTCTTTCCCTAATTTAAGATTCACCCAAGATTGTGTAAGGCTTGTGATTATTTCAGAGTTTTAGAAGAAAATCTTCCTTCCTTTTTACAAAGAGTAATCACAATTCCTTTAAGAATCACAAGGAAGATAAGCAATTTTATAAAGCAGTTCAATTCATCTGGTGAAAGCCCCAAGGTTATTATTGCCAAAAGAATGCCTTCCTAAGTAGCAGGTAAAACTCAAACTCAAATATTTGCTCTAATTGTTCAATAAATATAGTAAAATATACATAGCTTTTGTTTTACTTTTAGGAATAGATGTTATTATTTAGCCCTGAAAAGTTCCCAGATGCCTGGGTCCCAGTACATTGTCATTTGCTTATTATTCATTGTGAAGATGGGAGATGGCTAAGTGTGTGGACTTTTGCTATGCTTAAGTAAAACCTATAGACTAAGGACATTGTGTTTTATTGGAATGTAATTACATTTCCAAACAGAATTATTTCTGTGTTGATGACACTTGTACACAGATTAGAAAGTCTTGAAAAGACTTTTTGGATTTGATTATATGTTGACTTTTCCCTCAAATTTCATATTTTCAATCTACCCTAAACACTGCAACTATAAAATATAATGACTGAGGCAGTTGGACAAAAAACAAACAAACGAACAACAAAAATCCCCACAAATGTATCCTGAACATTAAGAAATAATGGGTCTTGAGTTTTTATGGCCATTAGTGAAGTCCCATTAGTGATGATTTTGTTGGCCAAGAAAAGGAAAAAACTTAAATAATTCACATCTTTGTAATTATGAAACACTAATGGTAGAAAATACTACATGAGACAAAATGCTTGTTACTGGGAAAGGTATATTCAAAGCAGCTTTAAATATTTGTTTTTGGAGACTGCTTACTAGACTGTGGAATTTCCACTGTGGTATTATTGTTTTATTTTGTTCTGCACAGAAGGTAAACAAAAACAAAAGGAAAAGAATTCATACCAGAGCCCCAAGAGTTGTCTGAACATCTCTGAAGGTTTTGAAAAAATCATCTGTTTTACCATGTTTTACCATGTTTTACTATACTAGAATAAGGTGGTCTTACAGGCCAACACAGGCTGATGAACTCTGCTCTAAATGGGTGGGGTGTCCTCCATCCATTTACATGCCATGTCTTACAAATAAGTGCATTTTATTTCTGGTCTCAGCCACTGACTTGTACATGTGGTCTCAGGCACGATGTGGAGTCTCTTATTGGAAAAGCACTTTTCCATAAGCACTCTCAGTTAACACTATTAAGAGGTAGATCTGTAACTTAAAGTTAATATGCACGAGTGCTCTCTCTCATATGCTGTATCAATTGCCTAACATGTGCTTTTAAAAATAATCTTCTATCTTGCCAGGTGTGTACTTTTTTCTCTGTTCTACAGATCAGAAAATCAAAGTTTAGAATGATTAAGGACATAGTTGAGGTCACACAACTGTCAGAAGGCAGGGATAGTGTTCCAACTGATGGGAGTCTGATTTTAAAGTAATTGCAACGAGTGACTCTTCAGCTTTGCTTCTCCATGGGAGAGAATCTTGCCTGGTTTTAAGTGGCCATACTTTATGCCTTTTAGAGGGCAAGCCCAAGATATTAAACTGTCTCTGGCTTAAGTGTAAAGTGAGTGGATTAATTCTGCACTTTATCTCCTTCCATGAAAGCATAAATAAATCAGTACAGGTGCAATCTTCCAAATTCACTTAAAGAAGCAGCAACATAAAATCAGGTCAGCATACTATGTAAGAGGGAGGAGCTCCATGCATCTTTTGATAATATATAAGTCTTTCAGAATGGTTCAGCTGCTGGAATTGTTACTTTCTTTCTTTTCCTGTTTCCAAAGTTTCTGTTCTAAAGAATGTATTCTGTTATGTTTTCCTTCAATGTCTATATCTCCTGACCTCTCACCTGACCTTTCACTTTATACACCTTTGCCAAACTCCAGCAGAGCCATATTGCAGTTTGCAGTGAGTTTGCTGTGAGGTGGCCAGTGCTGCCCCTTCCTTCCACTGTGAAAGTCCCCCAGGGGATCTACCAGGAATAAAACAAATCAACTCTTTTATGCTTATTTAAAAATATATTTTAATTGACAAATAATAACTGTACAAATAATTGATGGGGTACAATGTGATATTTGAATACATGCTACCATGTGATATTTGAATACATGCATTTGATCAAATTAGGATAATTAGTATATCCATCAACTCTTTTATTTGGCAAGCCCAGAATCGTCTGTTGATTCATGTTGGGGTCTTTGAATCAGTGTTTCCTTGCTACCCTATCTCAGTTTCCCAAAATAAGGAAAAACAAAAGTATATAAGTCCTGCAGTGAGATTCCAGCCTTATTTAGGTTGAAACAACTTTTGAGGTGTTTCTTTAGAATTCAAGCCCAGTTTGGTTATATCATCACTTTCATTCACTTTAATGGTTATCTGTCTTTGATGGACATACGGTCCTTTCACCTCATTGTAGAAAACCCTGTTTCCTGGTTTTGAGTTTTCATATTCTTTTAAAGTTTTTGGGTTTTTTTTTTGTTTATAGATATTCATTACTTGATCTTACTGTTTTGGAACCTAGAGATTATAAGTTTAATATTGGTTTTATTTTTTCTATGTTAATTCAGTTTAAATGTCAGTGTTCTATCTAAAAGGGATACTTGAAGCTGAATCACTTTGTGCTCGGCTGAAACATATAGTTTCTAAATTAAACACTTTCTTACAAGTTAAAGGCAAATTACAGCTGGTTAGTGCCTAGCATTCTGTCTCTTTTTTTTCCTGCTCTGCCAGCAACAGACATTGCTAATCAATTGGAGGCTCTTTCCCACCAATCATAGACACCACTTAACCATACAGAATGCTTCTTGGTACAAAATTCTAACTATTAATGGAATTAGGGTACATGATGAAATCCATTTGCCACCCAAGGAACAAATGCCTCATATAATCAGCACCAAGAAAAAAATATTGATGTTTTTCTCCTCAGGGAGCACTTTGAAAACTTAATGAAAAGATACTTTGCAATAAAATGGAGAATGGAGAAGGCTCTAACATTCTTAGAAAGCTCTATAATGGTGTAATGGGATCTTATCCATGAAAAGCATTTTATTTATTAAATAAAGTTTTGAATTAAAAAAATCCCATTAGCAGGACCAAGGATGGCAGATAATTTTCTTTTATATAGATAGCTTCTTACCATACTTTATATGAGGAGGTTGTTCAGATTCAAGTTTACTAAACATTGACAGAATATAACTCATATTTTTCTGCATGGACCCCAATATTAATTTCCAGGGCTGATTCCTACTTCCTTTTTTTGTCCTTAGATTGAACTAAAAGCCACATTATGAAAATACACATCAGATAGGACACTCATCTTCTCCAGGAGCATCAGGATAAATTAAATCATAAACACATTCGTATTGTGTTAGTAAAAGATACTAGATCCTAATTTATGTTTCCATGGTAGAATTTTTTTAACCAGTTCAACCTTTTTTCTCTTTCTTTCTTTCTTTCTTTCTTTCTTTCTTTCTTTCTTTCTTTCTTTCTTTCTTTCTTTCTTTTTCTTTTTTTTTCCAGTGCTTAGGATTGAACCCAGGGCTTTGAGTGACTCAGGCAAGCTCTCCTTAGCACTGGGCTATACTCCCAGCCCTTTGTTTTAATTCAAATGTGAAGGGTATTAAATTTAGGTGATACTTCATATTAATTGGGAGGAAGATGACCAAATTGCTTGAAATACTGCAGTGTATCAGGAGCTACACTAGGGGACACCCTCTTCTATGAGGCCTGACATTGCTGTGGGTTTGGGGAAAGCTGGATCTGCCTGGGTCTGGACAACGCAATGATTGGACTACTCTAGTGGGTCTTTAATCATTTCCTCAGGGGCCTTTGTTCTTCTCAAAGCTTTCTTGGTTACAAGAAACAGACATGCACTCAAGTTGCCTCACGTGAAGGAGGATTTATTGAAAGTTTGTGCATGGGAGAAGCTGAATGACCAGCCTTAGCAAGAGCAGGGCCCGAGCTACACTGCCTTTTCACCTCTGTCTCTGAATCCTGTGTTCCTGTCTCACTCTTCTCTTTCTTTCCCAGCTGGCTTCCTCTGCATTTCATAGTCACTCTCCTCTCATAAATCCAGCATGTGCATTGCCCATAATGGCCACTCAGCTCCACCTACCACCACCTTTGTGCCACAGTGGCCACAGTTAATAGCTCAGGGGCTTGGCTTCCCAGTTCTCTATTCCACAGAAAGGTGTTGGGCACAATTTATCATTCCAAGAGAACACATTGATCCTAAAATCACATAGACAGAAGTGCAAGGAATAGCAGCATAGTCAAAACCCTATTGGTTAATCAGCTGTGGCCAGAGGTCATAGAATCAGATTATCCTAACTTCCTTCTACAGCACTCTTGGAGATGTGAGAATATGATCACCAGGTATGAGATTAGAATCATAAGACAATTGTTGACTTACCTGGAGAGTATAACAGCATGGTAGCCATTCCCAAAGCTGGCTCCAGAAATCTGACACCTGTGATCCCAATGACTTGGGAGATTCAGGCAGGAGAATTGCTCATTTTCCTCCAGTCTCAGCAACTTAGCTAGGCCCTTGCTTCAAAATGAATATGGCTGGCCAAGTATCTAGTTCAGTGGTAGAGCACCCCTGGGTTCAATCCCCAGTATTACCCCCTTACAAAATAATGTTAATTTGAAAAGAACATTTAGCTATGACATTTAGCCCATTTAAAATTTACATCTATCTTTTTATTTTTTTTCCTGCAAGTGATAGAATTATTTCAGAGGCACCCATTTCTTTCCTGTAGTTATTTCCATTGGCTTATTTCATAATTCAATGATCTGGGAATGCTGTCTGACACCTAAAGGTAACTCTACAAAAAAGGGCGCATTACATTCTGCTCTTCACTATGGAAATGATCAGATAATAAAATGGATCATAGGCTTGGAGGCTGAGGAAGTTGGGCTTATATTCTGTAACTGCTTGATATAAAACTTATACCATTCTTCCCCTGACATTTCTAATTAATGGAATGTGGCGTTAATTAGTAACTTGGGATCAGACCTGAGAGCCTTGAAGTTGAATTTTGTGTAGAAACATATTTCTGTGGTAGGTAAGACAAACCCAGAGTTTTTTGGATGAGAAGGAGATTTTCCACTCCATTGTTATTTTCTGTATGGCTTTTACTGAGTACAAATCAAGCCAATATTACAGTTCATTTATCCAGCCCTTTCAGCTCTCTTCCAGGCATCTCAGGAATGTTAGAATGGACATTGACTAAAATACCCAGCCTTGAGTGGAGGAGGTAGGTACCACTGTAAGCAGAGAAGTTGGGGAAACAGATCAGGCAGGAAAGCTCAGAGGTGTGAGATCCTGCGCTGGGTAGAGCTTGTTCTGGCTCTATGGATATCATTGCCCTTGAAAAATTCTCCCAGTTTCTTTCCAGGCCTCAGTTTCCTCACCTGCAAAATAGGAATCAATGCCCCTGTCTCTAAGGAGCGTTGGGAAGTTTGCTTATTAATGATGCTAAGAATGCTTGGAACGCATAAATATTTCTTAAGAAGAGCTGGTATCTTTCCTCTCCCTATAAGATTGGAGGAAATATGCAACATCTCTTCTGTTCATCTGTAATTTAGTCAGCTTGTGTACATACTGCATTGCATTAAACGCTGAACTCTGATCCTAGTGTTTAAACATATTAAATACAAAATATGAGTAGTATAAATTGTATGAAACACTTTTGTCTCCTACTTGGAGGCCTAACAATGCAGGGTCACCACAAACATTATACAGACACTGCAAAGAGTAAGTGGAAGTCTTTCAGACAGTGACTGGAAAATAGTCTTACAGCAAAAGTAGTAGAAGTCCAGCACTGGGGAATTTATAAGTAATCCAAAGAAAACTGAGGGTGGGCAAGGGCTAGTGAAATTTGTTTATTTTATTTGCACATTAACTTTTATAATACTCTTCCTCTAAAGAACACAAAAAAGGCTTCACAGATAACAAACTCTATCTTTTAAACTTCTCATTCCCACAACAGCCTTGCTGGGGTTCGCTGCCATAAGAAAACATCACCTATTTCCTCTTTAGAAAAATAAGGTTTCAGGATAAAAGCGTTTTCCATTATGGTTTGGGGAGAAAGGACATCACCATAGGTCTTTTATCAGAGATCATGGTTCAAGCCTTCCAGTAATAAAAACAGAACAAATTTCACTTGGAAGGTGTGCAGAGAAGCACAGTGCCTTAGGAGGACTGTGTGAAGATAACTTGGGTGCCTGTCCGTCACCCAACTCTAATGGTTTTCTTTATTTCAGGATCTTCAAATTATGGATTTTTTTTCCTTTTTTCATATTGTTGGGTTTTTTTTTTTTTTATTTGACCACTAACTTGTAGCCTTGGCATCTCTGCAATTGTATTTCTCCAAATGCACAGTGGATATGAATCAAGCCATAGGTGAATGTCTGTGTCCTAAGAGACATTCAGCGCTTTGTAAACTTTTCCTTGGTATATCACACCATTATTTTCTGTTTTGTCTTGGACTGTATTTTTTTTTCTTTTATTTTACTATAATACTCTGAGCTCTTTAATATTTTCCCTTGGGGCAAATTTCAAGAAGAAAAGAAACTCTCTGTGAATAGTGGTTAAAAATTGTTGACAAGGAAAGTTGAAGATAACCATGTTTTGTTTCACTTTTCAAAAACTGTATGTGGACATAGAAGAACCTCAGCAGTTACACATATCGGTAGATCCCTCTGTCCTCTGAAAAGAAGGGAGAGATTTATGGAATCCACAGGGGCGAGGGCCACATAACCCAGTTTGAGCTTACAAGGCACTAGCTCCTTAATGCCAAGTAAATTTTGGAAATGATTCTCCTTTGCTGACAGTACCCTCATTACTGATTGTGTAGAGTAATTTATCAGGCATTTCTTAAAATAAACCGTTCATTTATACTAATAGGACTTGGCAGGAAGAAAAAATTGGCAGGACTTGGAGTTCCTAGTGTGGGTTTTTTTTCTTTTCTTTTCTTTTTTTTTTTTTTCAATTTTGTTGCCTTTAAAAAATCTAAAACACTGACTTTTCAAAGTTTCAAACACTTTGAGGAAATAGGTTTTAGGGGCCAGCTTGAAGTTCATGAAATTGTAAAGAATGGCATTAAAAGTTTTCAAACTGGAAGAAAGGAAATAATTCTAAAAATGAAGTTCACCAGACAGAAAATAAGTACAATGTTACCAATTTTATCTTTTCACATTCTTTAGGCATTGGGCTCCTTGATAATTTTGTTACCTACTTTTGGCATTGCATGGGTTGGGCTCACTTCACTTCTCTTCCATGTTTGATTCTATGCTCCTTCTCCTTGAAGTTTGTATCAGCTAGCTGTTTCTCTTTAGTTATGCACATAATGTATCACAGTTGTTTATATAGACCCAAGAGAGTTATTCTCAAGGCTTTCTTATTATCTTTGTATTCTTAGCCTTGGGCTCTGACAATTAATTTCCATCTTACGTTTCCTTGGAATTAAAAGGATCTTACTAAAATTGATAACACTTTCTCCCATATAAAATAATAGTTATGGAAATCATAATAAAACATAAGCTAAAATTGAATCTTTAGGCTCTGGAAAAATACATCAGTTCTCCACCAGCACTGGGGATATGGAAGGCCAGGGAGCTAAATTCTGACACAATGATCAAGTGTACAACTGTACATAGGTATGTTTATGTGCATATGTATATGTATATAATATGTATACATACATACACATTTGTTATGTGTCTATTTTTAATAATAATGAAGTTGTATGAGTTATAGCATCTGTTGAGACTCAGACATAAGAATAGGTTATGTGAGGGGCTGGGGTTGTGGCTCAGTGGTAGAGCACTTGCCTAGCATCTGTGAGGTGCTGGGTTCAATTCTTCAATTCTCAGCACCACATATAAACAAACAAACAAATAAAGATCCATCAATAACTAATAAAAATATTTTTAAAAAATAGGTTGTGATACTGCAGACCAAAGCAGAAATAATGTTCTCTGGGAATAAATGAAACTCTTCAAAAGTTCAGGGCTCTACTGGTGGTTAAATCCTACTAAAAAGGGTAACATGCACTACATCAAACTGATAGTTCTGGGCTGGAAAGTGGTTTTACACTATTGAATTGCTGATTCCGCTTGCTTCTTAGGAGCTTCCATAGCTGACATTTTAACATCAAATGATAGTTATCTCTTTTGTTTCAATCCTCTTTTTGATCAGGATCTTAGAGCTTGTTATTTTGATAAAATTAAGTTTAGATTGCTTTATAATTTTCAAGCTTTTTCATACCTGATATTATAAAGTTTACGATTACCAAAAATGCCAAGCTGTTGAATATATCTACATATTAATAATTATTATGATGTTAAATAATAATTCTGGGTAGTAAGACTGGGTAATTTTTCCTTTTTTGTTTTTCTTTATTTTTTTCTGACAATTTACAATATTATCTTAATATTTTAAAGTGTTCAGTCCCCAGCATTGCCAAACAAATAAAACAAGTTTTAAAATGTTTTCAGAAAAAAAGGAAAAAGAAGAATACCTTATTTATTTATTTATTTATTTATTTTTGGTCCTGGGAATTGAACTCTGGAGCATTCAACCACTGAACCACATTCCCAGCCTTATTTTGTATTTTATTTAGAGACAGGGTCTCACTTCCTTAGTGCCTTGCTTTTGCTGAGGCTGAACTCTTGATCCTCCTGCTCAGCCTCTGGAGCCACTGGGATTAAAGGCATGTGCCACTGCACCCAGCAGAATATTTTTAAAGATACAGTTATAAAGAGATACAGTTATAGAGAATTATAAAGGTTTTTCTTAGAAAGTTTAAGGTATACATTTATGTCTTACTTCTTATGTATTGAGAATTAGGGTTGTACACAGTCATATTATTTCTTTATATCCTTGGTTTTATTCTATATTCAATTTTAAATGTTCTTGACCATTCACAAATAATTTCTAAATCTCTAGCTTACTCATTTTTTTTCATTGCTGATATAAGAGTATTTGATTTGTTTCTTTTCTTTTTACCTATCTATTAAAAGAAACATATGCCAATTTTTTGAGATCCCATCATCATTGTATTTCAGTTGTTACCTGTGGCCTATGATAAGGAGGTCCTTGTGCTTTGGAAGTTTCTTTATCTTCTTAACCAAGGGTTTCTCACATCTTAAGCAGAAGTTTTCCTGCAGGACCAAATTTAGACCATTGCTTTTAATCCCAAGCCAAATGATTGTCTAAAAAAATTCGAGGGCAGTGTATATTTGGAACAGCAGACAGATTCATTGAGCCTAAGAACAATAAAGGAATCCAGAAAAAAATTAAATGGTTTTTGTCAAGGAAAACAGTAATACCATGAGCCTCGTTTCTCACCCCTTTGCAAACTGAATCCATCTTGTGAAATTCTATGTTCTTATTTAGCAAAGCAACAGGAGAAGGGGGGAACGGAGTTATTTGATGATGATTCTTTTTTAATCACAGCAGCTTGGGATAGCTAACAAGTTCAGGACTTTCCACTACAGGTCTTTAACTTTTCTATTACATTCTCTTTCCTTTCTACACCTTTCTGGAAAGAGAACTCGGATTTAATAAGTTCAAGTAAGAGGATAACTTCTGTGTAAAATCACCTATGTGAGTCCTGTGGCTGTCAGGAGATATTGGAATTTATTTGATTCTGTACTGAGAAAAACTCATCTTCAGTGTGTGCTTCTTCTTGGCATCAAAAATTAGCGAGACCCCACAAGCACCAGCCAGAAATTGGAATGGACTCTGTGTCTTTTATTAAAATTTCTGTGTGGGCACAGCTCTCTGAAGCTTGCCACAAGGAGGCCAGCTGGTGCTAGCAGGAGGACATGGGGCTACCTTGCTCCTGGAGTTGTTTAGTCCTGGGGTTGAGAAAGTAGAGTGAATCTCAAGTAGAATGAGACAGAATTTTCAAGCCCCACAGGCCAACTAGATTTGACAGATTCAGAAAACTTTTCTCAGTCAGCTTGCCTACTTGTGTAACATTCTCCTTATTTCTTTTATGTTCTTTAATATTTAGTACAGAAACTTTTGAACATTTCAGCCAATTTCTGCTAAAATAAATAAAGAAGACACATTTTGGTCAAGTTTATTTTGGGCATTAAAGTGAGGGAGCAGGAAGGGGCTCCTGATAGAGTGAATCAGAGCAGAAAAACTGATAAGGAAAGCAAAGTTCAGAAGGATTGAGCTGGTGTTATGGTTTGGATATGAGGTGTCCCCCAAAACTCACACATGAGGAAATGTAAGAAGGTTCAGAGGAGAAATGTTTGGGTTGTGAGAGTCTTAACCCAATCAGATGCGGATTTAACTGAGTGGTAATTGGAGTGGTAGGTTGTGGCTGGTTGGGAATTGGGGCGTGGCTTTGGGGCATATATTTGTATCTAATAAGCAAAGTTGTCTGTTTCCTGATGATGTGAGCTGCTTCACTCTGCCACACTCTCTCACCATGATGTTCAGCTTCACTGCAACTCCCAAGGAATGGAGCCGGCCTTCTGTGGACTAAGACCTCTGAAACTATGAGCCCTCAAATAAACTTTTCCTCCTTTAAAATTGTTCTGATCAGATCTTTTAGTCACAGCAGCAAAGAAGCTGACTAAAACAGTCAGGGTTCATTCAGATATCCATCTCTGGCCATAGATTCTCTAGTCAATGCTAAACTCTGAAGATTCCTGAGTGTGCCTTATTAAAGCAAATAGCCCTGTTGGTTAATTACTAAGAAAATGGACAAATTCTCATGTGTACACAGTCAAATGTAGGTACATTTAGGCTAAGATCATAGATTTGCTCTTACCTCTAAACTTAAGAGATTTCCTAGTTATTATACCTGGATTGCTATGATTTACTCACTTAAGAAGTAGTATGCCATAGCAAAATTGATTTGTACTCTCAGTAAACTAACATAAAACTAATTTGCACTAAAAATCCAACTGGAGAGGAAATATGGTGAACGATATTGGCCAAATGAGATTGTTATATGATGTGCATGTATGAGTATGTAACAATTCCCACCATTATGGATAACTATTATTCACCAATAAAAATATGGAGAAATAAAGAAAAGAAGAATATAGGAGAAAAAAAAAGCCAATTGGATTCTGAGCTCCAAAAGGGCAATAATATCTCTATTGCTTTTGTTACCTCAGTGCAGAACATGGATGTATAACTCAGGAAATGTTTGTTGAATGAATATGCATTATGTTAGTGTGGAGCTTTTTATAGTGTCTGAGTATTTCTCTCCCTGCTCACTGTACTTTTTTCAAAAGCTTAGTGTGGCAAGTCATTATTCACAAGACGATTATTGGAACCTGGCTTCAGAGCAAATAGAAGCTAGTCTTTGGAGCAGGTGTGGGGAAGGGCAGTTCTGCTCCCTTCATCAGCATGTCTTTGTATATCTGAGACTCAAGTTCCTGTGACAGTCTCCCTAGCACAGGGCTTGCAGCATTCTTTCCTTCTCATTTTCAGTTTTAAGTGGGCCATTCAGAACTGCTCAAGTCACCCCTCTTCTCCTAGTTATTTCAAACATTTTCATATCATTAAAATCCTATTTTTCTGGGTATTACATTCAGAGTACTAGAGTCACTTGCTTCTGGGAGGAACTCGTGTACTAATCCCTTATTAACATACCAGATTCTTCATCTCTTAGGTGAGCAAGTGTTCATTCACTGACCCCGTCTAGTTCATTTTGATGTTGAAGGGACTGGGGAAGAAAATAAATGTAAAACAATTATGACTTGAAAATTCCTTGAGAATAGATCGAGCCACATCAGTAGACATGATTGGAGCATATTTCAGTGCTACTCAGACTGTGGGGAATGGCAATTCAGCCTTTGTTCTTATGTCTTTTATTATCTGAAACCATTCACTTAATAACACTGAGTGTTCATTTCATCACTTTAAAATAAATGACTTCATAACTCATGTCAGAAATAAATAATATTAACATACATGTCTGTAGGAGTCCATATATGCAAGGTAATATTGTGTATAATATCTTGATAGAACAGTATTCTTATAGAAGTGAATTATAAGGGTGTATTCACATTCTGAGTAAACAGCTAGCCAGCTTTAGTCAAACCTATGGCATTGCTTGCTACCACCCTTCTCCTTAGGACAATCCCTCCAACATTTGTAAATCTACATTTTTATCAAGTGAAAACTGTCTCCCAAAGTGAACTAGGATGGATACAAAATTGGTGTCATCCATTTCTTCTGATAAGAAGCATAAACTACTAGATTGGCTACTCCTTGAGAAGGTGGCTGTTTCCAGATTGGCTTGATTTAGCTACCTGTTTTTTTGTTTTTTTTTTTAACTAATTCTTTAGGGATAGGAACCATGATTAAATTAGCTCAGAGATGAATTCTGATAGTTGAGTGGGTGGTCTTCCTGTATCCTAAAATCCAATCCTTACAGTATCTTCAGAAATAAGTAAATCTCATAAATTCAACTAAAAGAACTTCAGTTCTAGTTACAGAATATAAATTTGATATTGAGATTTCTTTGGACCAAATTAGTAGCCAGGAACTTCAAATAAATCCAAGAAAAGTCTCCTCCAAGACTTGATCACAATAATAAGGAAATATTAATACATTGATAAGCAGTTTTCCTTTTATGTGTAGCATACAGTACCATTTCAAAAGTAGCATATAAAAAAATTTAAGGCACTAAAGAATACACACAATATTTTCTAAATGAGTGGGTTTCAGAATGAAAAATTGTAACTTCAGAGTGAAAAATTATTATTGCATTACAATTTAGCAAAACTGTTAATTAGCCATCTGCTTGTAATTTAGTTCAAAGAAAAATAATATTAGCTTACATAATGCCTTGAATTTCCCTATAGAAGGCCAGTAGGTGAAATATTGATTAAGGCTTATGAAATTTGAACACAGTATCTCAGACAACCATAATGACAATAGTGTGCTGAGACCACAGTTCAAGAAGAAAATAATTTAATGAAAGTAGAATGAAGATAGCCACTATTAATGAATTTGCTAATGATTATTTTCTGTAAGATATGTGTTATATAATGTTCCCAGTTTCATGTATGCAATGTACTATTTTTGATTAGCAAAGAGAAAATTATTATCTCAGCTATGAGATTGGCCTTATCAAAAGTTATTTGGCTTAACCGGGCAGTCATGTGTAATTTTAATTATGATAATAAATGGCAAAGATATTCATATGCTAGAAATTAAAATAAGGTACATTAGAAGAAACAATTTTGAATATATTTTAATTATATAGTTGCATAATATACAAATAAATATTATACAATTATATGTTACAATTATACCAAACAATTCTCTGTGGAAACAACCAAGAGTAAAACAGAATTAATTCCAATAGTAAATGAAAAATCAAGCTAGGATATGTATGACCTGGATGTACAAAGGAGTGGTATTCAAAATACTTAAAAACAGTCAGTCATGGGCCCTCACCAAAAAGTACAAGATGCTTGTCATGGTATTGAAGCAGTGTGTCCCTGAAGCTATATCCTGAACTAGGTGTTAATCCTTTAGATTTTGGACCACTGAGAATTTCATCAGGATTCCAAATAGGCCAATGGGAATGTAAGACAAGAATCATTTAGTAATTAATATGAAATATATCAATATTTTTATAAGTGTGGGTGTACCTGTGCATACATGCTGAATATCAGCCCTGATGAATGTGAAATTGTCCATTTGTAAGCATTTGATTCATTTTTCATTAAACTTGAAAAGCAACCTGTCCTAACTCCAGAGCCTCCAAATCAGAATTAATTTATAAACCCAGGGAAGGTAAAAAACGAAGAGAATACTATATACAACATGAAATCAAAATGCTTAGAAGATACTAGAGCTCCATTTCTGGTTTATAGCATATCAAAACACTCACCAGAAAATAAGAAAAACTGAATATTTTAATTTTTAAATTTGTTTGAAAGCACTGAAGAAGTACCAAGAAAATCAGGGCTTCAATGGTATTATCCTAATGAGAAAGGAAGCACATTAAATTAAGTCCTATACATCCTGCCCTTGGGCATTGCCATTCTTTGGTGCCTGACATAGAGATCTGCCAGTAAATGCTTGTATGAGTTTTTCTGCATTTGAGTTGAGAGACACTTAAGTAAGCCAGAGCACAAGGGACCAAGATCTCAGAGAAAAGTGGATATTAGAGATAAATGTGAGACTTTGAAAGATGGAGAGAAGCCAGACCAGCTAGGCATCTTGGGATCCGAATATTAACTTGGCAGTGAGTTCCCTGGGGTTTCTTTTTACCTAGTATATCCCAGACTGAGTGTTGGAGAGCTATCAATCAAGAAATACCAAGACTGGGGGGAAAAAAGAAAACCTCAAGAAATGCTGGCTGTCTCTAAAACGGGGCCACCAGAAAACATATAGACAATAATGTACCTAGTTCAGTCAGTTACCACAAGAAAACATAGTAGCTGCACCTGTAATTTTGTCAGCAAAGGCAGAGAGGGGAACCTAGATTTTCACCCTTGACCAGCTGAAATGGTGATTGGCATATCCATCCTGCAATATACACTCATGGTGGGGTTGAATCAGGGGAAGTAGGTGGGGATCTTGGACTTTAATCCCAGCCTGGCAGGAACAAGTACCATTCCCTTAGCAAAAGCAGAAAAGCATGGAGAGAATGGACTTCCTCTCCCTCCCAGTAAGTTAACAAGGCACTCCTCCCATCCCTGCTGGGATGGTGTCAGAAGAGGCCAAGAGGCCTCCATTATCTCCCAATAATAATAAGACACCCATTTTGCTTGCTGTATCAGTGGAAGCCACAAGGGTTGGAGCAAGTAGGTTCTCCCTCTCACTATGTATAAATCAGAGCAGTTTTGGCAGAGACTTAGTATGGAATCTGAACTCCCACCTCTGACCAGAAAGAGTCATTACTCCTTAGCAGGGTACCAATGAAGATAAAATGGGGAACGTGGATTTCTACCCTTAACTTGCAGTAATGAGGCAACATCTCCTTCCTGCTGCCAGCATAGACACATAGGAAACCTGCTAAGATGGACAATTTAAATAGGATCCAGAATCTCATCTATACCAAGTGTCCAGGGTATAATTGAAAATCACATACTTAAGAACCAGGAAAACTCAACTTGAATGAGAAACAATAGACATACTCCATAGATGTCAACAATGAGAATGCAGAGAGGTTGGAATTATCTGACAAGGGTGTTAAAGCAACCATCCTACAAAAAAGAAGGAAGGGAAAAAAAATAACAAAATCCTTCAACAAGCAATTACAAACACACACAGGGAAAATGTAGAAAGTCTTAGCAAAGAAATAGAATATCTCTGCAAAGAAATCAAAGATGTAAAAAAGAAACAAGTGTAAATGATAGACCTTGTTCTTCAGATGAATCTCTGTGGGGTGTGCATCCAAAATTTAGACTTTTCTTCCATCTCTGTCAGATTTTACTCTCCACTTGCCCTCTCTTGACTATTCACAGTGGTTCAGGGAGAGCTGCTGCCACCTACCTTGGTCCATGAGGGAACATGAGTCTATTGGATTTTTCTGGTCAGAGAATTTAGTTCAGGGTAGGGCACATGACCAAATCCAGAGAAAATTTTGGGGTTATTTCTGGAAATATTGGAGAAAATAGCCCTTTTTCAGTTTGATTTGCTCAAGTGTTAAAATATAAGCTCAGGCTCTGGGTTGACCTATTTGTTACAACTTAATGGGAGGCTGCTTGAGGTCATCTATTGACAGGAATGAAAACTGGATGAAAGGATCCTGGTGATGTGATTTCATACCTGGATCCATCAGGATGTTTTTGAGTTAGGTTTTATTTTAAATTTTATTTAATTTTCCCTATTCACTTATTATTAAAATTTTAATTGATATAAAATTGTACATAATTAGGTGCAGTGTGATATTTCAGTACCTGAATACTGTGTGTAAAGAGCAGATTAGGGTAATTGGCATAGCCATCATCTTAGACATCATTTTTTTTGTGTGTGTTGGAAACAATCAAAATCCTCTCTATGGAGTATTGAAATGCACAATTAAGTGTTAATTGTCAGTTGTAGTTGTTGTACTGTGCTATAAAACATTAGAAGTGATAACATTTTTTCATGTATTTGTCGATCAGTTCAGGTCCTTGGCCCATTTATTGATTGGGTTATTTGTTTTTTTTTGGTGTTGACCTTTTTGAGTTCTTTATATACCCTAGTGATTAGTGCTCTATCTGATGTGTACAGGGTAAAGATTTGCTCTCAAGTTGGAGGCTGTCTATTTTCTTTTGCTGAGAAGAAGCTTTTTAGTTTGAGTCCATCCCATTTATTGATTCTTGATTTTAATTCTTGTACTACAGGAGTCTTATTAAGGAAGTTGGGACCTAATCCCACATAATGGAGGTTAGGGCCTACTTTTTCTTCTGTTAGACGCAGGGACTAGCAATTAGAGAAATGCAAATCAAAACTACTCTAAAGTTTCATCTCACTCCAGTCAGAATGGCAGCTGTTATGCATATGAACAATAAGTGTTGTCCAGGATGCAGGGAAAAAAGATACACTGCTGGTGGGATTGCAAATTGTTGCAGCCAATATAGAAAGCAGTATGGAGATTTCTTGGAAAATTGGGAATGAAACCACCATTTGACCCAGCTGTCCCTCTCCTCAGTCTATACCCAAAGGACTTAAAAACAACATACAACAGGGACACAGCCATATCAATGTTTACAGCAGCACAATTCACAATAGCTAAACTGTGGAACCAACCTAGATGCCCTTCAATAGATGAATGGATAAACAAAATGTGGCATATATACACAATGGAATATTACTCAGCAATAAGAGAGAATAAAATCATGGTATTTGCAGGTAAATAGATGGAGTTAGAGAAAAAATGCTAAGTGAAGTTAGCCAATCCCCCCCCAAAAAAAATAAATGCCAAATGTTTTCTTTGATATAAGGAGGCTGATTCATAGTGGGATAGGGAGCGGGAGCATGGGAGGAATGCACAAAAGAAAATACCAGAAACAGCATTGTATTAAAATCCTAAGAAGATATTTAATTGGATTTATTGCAGTAAAAACACTTAACCTGAGATTTATCCTCTTAACTCAATTTTGTATGCAACCCAGAATTGTCAACTATAGGAACAATATTGTATGCAAGATCTTAAGAACTTTTTCATATTGCATAATTGACACTTTATGCCAATTGATTAGCAAGTTCCAATTCCCCCTCTCTCTCAGTCCCTAGGAACCACCATTCTATTCTCTGCTGTTATTAATTACATTAGTTGAGATAACTCCTCAAAGTAGAGTCATGCAGTATATACTTCTGTGACTGGCTTATTTTGCTTAAAGTTATTTCAAGTTTCATACATATGGCATGGATTTCCAAAACTATTCAAATTGTATATGGCAGAATTTCCTACAAAAATATTTCTTTATATGTATATACCACATTTTCTTTGTTAATTCTTCCATGAATGGGCACATCTTAGAGTGAATAGTGCTGCACTGAGCAGCAGGCTCTCATATCTCAGAGAGCCCTGTAAAACAGATAATTTAACAGAGAAAATATCTACTTTATATTATAATTATGTAAATTAAAATATAGAAAAGAACTGACTTTCATTATGTACCTATTGTTTTCAAAGCCCTGTATTGTGTTTGTACTTATTGTTCCTCTGTTCCTCATAAAACCCAATGTTGTGAGTATAATTTTACACTTAACAAACGTGTAAAGAAGGAAACTAAGAAAGGTTAGAAAATGTGTCCAGATTCTTGACTAATTAATGCCCTAAGAGAAATTGAACTCCAGAGTGGCTGCTTCTAAAAAGCTACCTTCCAAATAAGATTTATCTGTACATATGTGAGGAAGAGAAAAATGTGTTGTTACAAATAATAATAATGGGCTCATCAATGAATTTTCACTACTGTAGTACAAGTTTTAGAGATATGCTAATTTGAAAAGCCAAATGTGTAGTAGTAAGCCAGAATACAAAGAGGAGATTTTTCTTAAAACATCTTTTACCTGAAGGTTTAACTCATACTTAAAGAACAAATCTAATAAATAATAGTCATAACACTATGGGCTACATAATTTATTTGAAGAAAACTAATTGCAATGTGTCAATGAAAAAAATCTAGAATATTATGCCACTGTTATTTCTGTGGCATAATAATTTAAATTTTGATCTCTTTACCTTAGAAAAATAGAATTTGAGATATTATCAGTAACTTTTTAGAAATACTCTATAACTTAAAGAGTGTTAAATATCTGAATGTGGTCTGTTTGGGATGTAGTGTTATATTGTCTATGGACAATGACTGTCATGCATGCATTATTTCCATCCGTAAGCAATAAGTTAAATTACTGTTTTGATGTAGTCCTTTTATTTGCCAGTCAAAGAATATTACAAATGATTGAAAGGATTTATAAAATGAGGTGGCTGAGATTTGTTCTTATTTGCTTGCAGCTGAAAGCATAATATCCTTAATGCTTCCAGGATATGGAGGAGCTAACAGATGTCAAAAGAGCAGAGAAAGCTATTTTGCAAAGATCATTCAAAAACCAAACAAAAAATCTTTTCTTTTACAAAATTCACAAACTTTACTTATCAAACACTAATCATAGTTGACAGAAAATGCATTTTATGTTTACACAAAATGTATCCTTTTCCTCTTCAATTAAAAAAAATAAAAGTTGTTATGATAAAGGTAAGACCCTGGATTAAAATTAGTGTAGCACAAGTTTTTCTTCATCAAGTAACTGAGAGTTCTGTCATTGTAACTCTTTACTGTATATGCAATGTAAACAAATAATTTTGCTTAAAGATAAAAGCAAAATAATTTAAATCAAAGAATGTTTTCCTTTGCTTATTTAGCTTAAACAGCTTTCTAACTGATCTGAGTTTCCAGAAACTGCCGTTTAATTCTGGAGAGTGTATTCAATAAATTCAGCAACTGTGAGTGTACAGTAGTGATTAGGTCTATAAGGCTCACTAACTAGGTCAACTTAGTAAGTCTGAAAGGAGAACCATCATGTTGCACATTAGAATTTTAAGAGAAAGACAGTCATTTGAGGAATAAATTGCTTAATGCTATTTCCATAGGTCCCATGTAAACAGAGGAATGTTGGCAAGTTTTTGCAATCAAGGCCAATGTTTAATAAAGACAGGAAGGAATAAAAAAAGAAAATATTATTTATGGATTTACATTTTGTCTTACCTCAATCCAAATTCTCACTGCTAAAACAATCCAAAAATATACTTCAGATCTCACCTGGGCTGCCACTCTCCTATTATAAACATGTTACTTAAATGAACTGGTTTGCTTTTCCCAGAAGCTCTTTATCCATTAATCAAGGATACTACAAATATAGCAAGTATTTGATGTTACACACTTTTTTCTTATTTCCCTCTTTTGTTGGCTGAGCTCCTCTTTTTTTTTTTTCTGGGGTAACTCTTCCCATGCATGTTGATAATTTACCCATTTTAGGTCAACCTTTAACCAAGCATGGTGTGGGTTCTGACCACACCATGCTTGGTTAAAGGTTGACCTAAAATGGGTAAATACGAGGCATGGCCACAGAAAATGTGCAACTATACTGGAAGAAATAGTTTTTTATATGCCAGAGGTGCATCATTTTTTAAGTCACATTACATTTTTACATCTGTTTGGATACATGTCTTGACTTAAGACATCTGAATATGTGTCTGACTTAGAATAGAAAAATAAAACACCATATTTAAAAGATTTTCATCTGAAGCAGGTTTAGCAGTTAGCTAAAGAGTTTCATGGAAATAATATTGTGTGCACATACCAATGCAATCCAAGTGTTTGAGTTCTGTTATCAGGATGATCCTTTGTTCAGAGATGATTGTCATCAGAAGACCTGCATATTCTGGTCTTGTATTGAAAACCATTCCTTTGATGGGAAGGGTGTTTAATGGAACCTTCAATTTATCTTAATCCCCTTGTTCAGATTCCATGTTTATTAGCAGCCTACTAATTTCCATGGAAAAAATACACTGCTGAAATATTCTAGACTTCATGTATCTTTCGGATATGAATGATAGTGGTTTCTGATTAAAATTAATACAATCTCTTCTCACAATTATATGTTGCTATAGCTGACTATAGGTGGAGAATGGACCACTCATGGCAACATGAATATTTGTGCTTCACATGACATCTTATACACTAAAGAGTAGCGTCTGTCAATTTTAAAGGCAGTTTGATTTCAAATGTGTAAACATTCATAGGACTGAGAGCTGATAAGAACCATGATCAGAGTCTTTGGAGCACTGGGATAGATCTAGCTAGGATTGCCTTAGATTAATTGTCCCTAAACTTTTCAGTGTCTCAAAATCCCCTAGGGAAGCTTTTGAAAGTACTGACTCTCATGTTGGAGATTCTGATTTAGTGAAACAGGCATGGCTAACTATTTGTACTTTTGAAAACCATCCCCGGATGGTTCTAATGCATACCCTCGTTTGAGAACCACTGTTTTCAACTTTTTCTCCATGCAAGAATCATGTGTACCTTCTTTTACTGATTTTTTTAAAGCTATAATTAGATTTGGTGAATTTCAGACTAGCCTACATTTTACTCATAAATTTGATCTTAGATGGAATTTGTTTTTTATCCATAATACACATATCTGTGTTTGTATAGGTGGCAGTGGTGGTGGACACAGAGGCAAAAGTGAAAAGTGGCAGTGGCATCTTTGGTATGAAATAGGCAGTCATACTTCAGAAAGGGCTCTGCCCTCGATGTGAATGATGTTCATTCTCTAGTAAGTCGTTTTATTGGTCAGCCTATTTCCCCTTTTACTTTGTTCTTTAAAGAATATTATACAAAAGCATTTGCATTGACTAGTAGATCCATGCTTCTGCCTTCATTTTTACAGTGGAAATCAGCTCTCTACACAAGAGTTATCATAGGCAAACTTTTCTCTTTCTCCCTAGTTTAAACCTTCCTCTTGTACATTGGTTTCTGTTGTTGCTGTTTTTAGTTAGTTTGCAGTTTTACTAGGCCATGTCTGTGTGTGAATTTATTCATATATATTCTTTTAACCTTACTATAATTTGTTTGGCTTCCTGAATCTAAGAAGGCATATCTTTCATCTGTTCTGGAAAATTCTTCCAATGTTGACACTCTATGTTCTCCTTTCAAAACTTCAGCTAGATGTGTGGTAAGCCTTCTCACCTTAAGTTCATATTTTTTAACTTCTCTTAAATATTTTTCAAATTTTTCTCTCTTCTGATAATTGGCAATTTGTATCTTGGGTCTGTTTTTGCAATTCACTGTGTCTTCAGTCATATCTAATCTGATGTTTAACCTCTCCTTTGAGTTTTTTTATTATTTAATGGTTTTATTTTTTCACTTCTAGAAATTAGGAGTTGTGTTTTCAAGTATTATTTTTCCAATAGACTTTTAAAGACTAATTCCTCCTCTTCTTTTTTAACAAGTTGCTGTACTAGATCTTATGATTTACTAGCTGGAATATTTGAGGATCTGATTCTTTAGTTTATTTGTTTTCTTTGCTGTCTCCAGTTTTTGGTGATAAATTTCTAGATTGTGTGTGTGTGGTGTGTGTGTATATATGTGTGTGTGTGTGTGTATGTATGTATGTGTGTGTGTTACTTTCATTGAAACTTATAATTCTTCAAGGCCTAGATTGAAGGCACATTCCTTTTGTACTTGCTTCGGGTAGAGACAAATGACACTACAAATTTAACTACTCTTTAAACTGCATTTCATCTTAGAGGTTTTATGGTCATCAAAGTGGTATGAATGCAATGCTCCAAACTTTTATGAAGACTAATTATGGTTTTCAAGGAAATTATTTTATAACTCTCCATGCAAAATCAGAGTCAGACACAGAAATGTTCTTGTCATTGCACCATGTAAGATGGACTTTAAGCTAGAAATAACCAAATTATGGATAACCAAACAAATTCCATCTGAGGTTATCTCATTTCCATCTGAGGTTATCTCTGAAGGGATTTTACCAATGACCCCTCATCTTTGAGAATCCTTAGGCTACATCTTCTTTGCTCCAATGGGCATTCACAGCTATAGCCCAATACGCACTGGCATGATGCTGTTGGAGAAGAGGATGGCTTTGAATCTCGTTGAATTAACATTTCATGATTTTCTCTGTCTATTGGGTTTTTCTCTCCAACTTCTTCCCCAAATATGTGGTTAACTTAACCATGCATTAAAATGTTTTAAAAATATATCCTAACATGAAAAAAGTCTTGGATCAAGATGCTTTTCTTCAGGACAATTAATCTACCACATTTCCATAAATAGGTTCCATTCTTTGAAAAATTTAATTAAGGAAAAAATTTCATCCTCCAATTCTTATTTCACACTAGAAACAATTGATCAATCAAATCATTAAGAGTATATAAGATGTTAATATTTATCTTTTCCAATACCCTGACTTCTTATTTTTGATGAGTAAAGGTATGCCTTGAGAAGCACTTTCCAAAGAAAATGTTCCATAGAATGCTAATTGTAGTTCCCTGGTGACAGAAAGCTGGAGAAACACTGAATTAAACAGAGTCACAAATTTTCTTATTGAAGAAGTTGTATGATGTGCAATAGGAGTGCCCTTGAGAAATGAGGATAACTCAGATGACTGATGTGAGGAAGGCCAGCATAGAGAGAAAAAGAGACTTCCCCAAGGGCATAGAGGTAGTTAGTAGCAGGTCATCTGCTTCTTCTAAGTTTCCCTTCCTCTTTATTATCACAATGTAACATTTGTTAAATAGCTACTTGGAAAACTATTTCCAGTAGTACCCCTTCCCCAAATCAAAATGCAGTTTAGAGGCCATCTTTCACTAAGTGAAAGGAAAGTGGGCTCCTCTCCTAAAAACAGCTAAACAGGTATGTTCCAGAAGTTCTCTAAGGAAAACAAAATATGATGTCAAAAAGCAGTGGTTTTAGATCTTGGCCTGAAGTGGAAAATAGATGCTTTCATGGGGCTTCAACCCAAATCAACACCAAGAGATAGTAATCCTGTGTGATTATTAAGAGGGTGTGTGCTCTCCTGAAATCATAGTTTTTAGTTGGCAGGGAGCAAACTTCCAAGAACAAGTTGTGACAGAAAACTTTTTTAAAAACCACTTTTGGATTTCGCCCAGCAGAATGTGCAGTTTCTGACTATTAGTGTATTCTTACCTCTATTACAGAAAATGGACTTGGGAAAGTGAAGTGCAATGTTATTTACATTTTTGTGCCAAAACATTATGAAGTGAAATAGTAAAACATGCTGAGTGAGTGCAGCATATGAAAATTAATAGGAACATTTTGAGTATGTGATCTTTTACTTGAAACAATATAAATGAAAAGAGTTCTGTCAAGGTCCTTTCTTGACCTCTTTTAAATGTTTCTTTCTTTCTTTCTTTTTTACACTCTCAGTTGTTTATAATAACTCCTCTGGATACGAGGTCTAAAAATTCTTTCTTTTAGAATTTTTCTCTGCTTGTGTACAGCTGATACCTTTCATGGAAAAAAAAAAGCATAAAATGATCAGTAAGTGATTTCTAATAGCTTTGAAATAGGACCACCAGGGTGAGTATTGAGTTTGGAGTCCTAGTGTTGGTGTCTCGTTTAGTCATCGGTCCTTGAAAATAAATGTGTTGTGCAAAGATATTCAAAGGTGTTGAGAGCAGAGATATTGTAAGGACAGAACTTCCAACTGAGGGCTAAAGAACAATCTAAGCATTTCTGAAAAAGTGCTTTTTAGGTGGCTTTGCACTAAGAAGAACCATATTATGAATTCATAATGATTACAAAAAGGAGGAGGAAGAGAAGAAGAAAACTGAACTTTTGCTCTCTGTTAGATACTGGATTAAGCTCTAGATATACATTAGCTTATGATATTTATATCTCAGAGCTAGTAAGCTGATCTCTGGTCACCCTTCTTTTACACATGAGGCTTAGAGAGTTGAAGTAACTTGTTAAAGATCTACATCAAAGAATACATTGCAGGGATTTGAACTCAACACTTTCTTGACCCCACAGCCCTATTGACAATTCCTCAGCTGTCTTGCCTCCTAGAGTAGATGTAACTATAAGTTGCATCTTTTTTGTTTGTTTGTTTGTTTGACAATCTGGAGAAAGGATTTGACTTTATACTGTGAAACTGGACCGTGATAGTCTGGAGCCAAGAAGTCCAGGCAGTCTTGGCATGAGGCAAATGTTGTCAAGAGAGGTCAACATCAGCTGAGACAGAGCAATGACCCTGAGCATAATCCAGGGACAGCCCAGAAGCTGACTGTCCAAAGAGCAAGGCAGGTTAGGGCCAGGTTGACCGAATATGAACACTACTGATAAAGGATTTCATGTGGTCACAAGCAGATTTCCTCAATTGTAGCC